CGGGACTGCGAGGAGGCAGGCAGCTGATGCTGCGGTCGATCTAGAGGATCCTTGAGGTATATATATGCATTAGCTTAATATTAAAAAATATTTAAGTTATTATAAACTTAATTAAGGTAATTACCTTTAAGTATATTAGAGAATATTAATATAATATTATAAAAAATAATATAAAATATATATACTTTATTATTATAAGTTTTTATATAATTATTTTTAAGTTATTACTTTATTTTTATATTATTATTTAACTATATATTAATTTTTTAAAGCTTTAATTTTACTTATTAAATAGCTTAAGCTAGTAATTACTTTTTATATTTATAATTTTACTTAATTTTTATTATATTATTAAGGTATTAATAGGCTTTTTTTATATATAGATTTTTAAAAAATTCTTTATTATTTTTATATTTTTTATTTTTACTTAATAAATAACTATAATTATACTTTACTAGCTTTTTTATAATATTAATTATTATAAAAAATTAATATAACTTATTTATAAAAAATAGTAAATAAAAAAAAAGCTAAAAAAGTAATATATATTTATTTTTATATTATTATTATAAAAAAAAAGAAAAAAAGTAATAAAGCTATTAATAATAAGTTTTTATAAAAAAATTTTTATTAAAAAAAGAAAAAAAAAAAAAAAAAAAAAAAGTAAAAAAAGTAAAAAAAATAAAAGAAAATATAAGTTAATACTTAAAAAAGAGTATTATTAGGGGGGCACTAGTCTTTTACTAGGGGGGCACTAGTTAAAATACCTGAAAATTTTCCTTATAACTCTATAACTTTAATTACTTATAACTAAGCTAAATAAAATTAAAAAAAATATTTAAAAAATACTATTTTATTAACTAAAACCTATATATACTTAAAATATTTTTTTAAAATATTTCTAAAGCTATATTAATAATAAAATTTTAAAAGAAACTTAAGCTATATTTAAGTATAAATTTTCTTATAATACTTTAGTATAAGTAGGTAACTTTTTATATATTTATATAGTTTATTTATTAAAGATTTATATTTCACTTAATGCATGCTTATATAACAGCTACTTACTTAAAAAATACTACTTTAACTTAAAATAAGATTTTTAAGCTTAATATAACTAATAAACTTATATTTTTAGGTTTAATATATATATTTAATATATAAAAAACCTAGAAATTAAATAAAAATCTTAAAACTAATTTTCTAGAATTTTTTATAGATTTTTAAAGGTAGAGGAAGTTTCTATAGGTCCGTAAGCACAGGCCTTTACTATACCAAGTTTAGCTAGTCAGTGCCCCCCTAGTAAAAGACCAGTGCCCCCCCAGTAATACTCTTAAAAAATGCCTTAAGTAATAATAAATAATTCTTTATTTTTTTAAAAGTAAAGTAAATAAAATATAAATTTTATTTTACTTTTACCTTACTTTTTTTTTTTAAGTTATTATAATTTTATATATAAATTCCCTTTTTAAATAGCTTTTTAATAAATTAAGATTATATTTAACTATTTATTTAATATTTATTTTATTTTTAATTTACTTTATTTTTACTTTTTTTAATAGTAAATTATAGCTAATTTTATATATAATTTTAAATTTTATTTTTTATTTTTTTTTTTATTTTTTTTATTTTATTTTTAAGTTATTATTATTATTAATAATAATAATAATAATAATAATAATAATAATAATATTATTATTATTATTATTATATTATTTATTATACTTTATATTATAAAAAAATATTATATTAATAAAAAAACCCTTTTTAATAAAGCCCTTACTTTATTTTATTTATAATTTAAATATTAATATTACTTTAGTAATATATATTTTAATTATTATAATTAATTATTATATATTAATACTTTATAGCTATTATACTTTATAAAATTTACTACTTTTAATAAATTACTTAATTTTTTATACTTAAAGCGCTATTTATATACTTTATTAAAAATACTATTTATAAAGCTAGTTTTTATAAATATTTTAAAATATATTTTAATATTTTTAATACTTTATAAAAAGCTATAAAAACACTTTTAATTAAACTTTTTTAAAATATAATATTTATTTTATATTATTACTTTATATTAATATTCTTTTATTAATTAATTTTTATATTATTTATACTTAATATATTACTATTATATTAAAAAATATTTATTTTTTATAATTACTTTTATAAATTATTATTTTAAAATATATACTTTTTAATAATTTAAACTAGATTTAATTTATAATAACTATAAGATTTAAATATTAAAAAAGAAAAATAGTAAATTATACTTAAGTAATTATTTTTTTTTTAATACTTATAGTAATAGTTTAATAATATTTATAATTATTATATATAATTAATATACTTTATAAGCAGCTAATGCTTATTAAGTACTTAAATATATCTCTTCCTCTTTTAAGCTGCTTATAAATAGCCTAATTTTATTATAGCTTATCTTTAAGCAGCCTATTCTTATTCTTAGGCTAATTAAGCAGCTTATATAAGTCGCACCTGCCTATTAGGCAGCCTATAGGACCTATAGGCTGGGTAATTGCAGCTTTACTACATACCTATATATGCACTAGTACCCTCTATAATACCAAACCACGACGATGGCTTCTATATAGTGCCGAGACCCGTGATGGAGTGCTGCCTCACAGGGGTTCGGTGCTTCCGCTTAACGCAACATAGCGTGCTAGGCACCACCTTAGGTGTTTAGCTCCCACAACCTAATCTGACCCAAAGCGATCGTGACTCCATGCTCTCCGGCTTCACGTACCTCCACTTACTTTCATAGAGAATTCCCAATCAACAACATGTAAGGCGAGACAGCAGACCTGCCCTGAACACATCGACCTCCTTCTTTCAGTGCACCGCAAGACAACTCATCAACCCCGTCCGCTCTCACGCAATGGCCGTCACGTTCCATCCCTTCCCCCGTCTTCCCACCGAGCTTCGGCTCCGGATTTGGGCCCTTGCGGCAACTCCACGCCTCGTCCACATCAGCGCGAGGCCGACGGAAGTGGTTCGCTGGAGGCGCATCGCCCCAAACGACTTCTCCTCGGCCATGGCGCCGCCTGCAGTGATGCACGTATGCCGCGAGTCCCGTCAAGCCGCGGCGTATCAGAAGGCCTTCTTCACCATGGTGCCCGGCGAGCATGAGCATCGGTACATCTGGGTCGATTTCGAGCAGGACATGATCTGTCTCGCAGACGATAGAGTGGACTGGCTCGAGCCGTATCAGGCCGATATTCGGCGGCTCAGGTTTACAGTTCCACCTGGCGACCGCGGTGACTTACTGTTTGATGTCTTTGGTAGCGTGAGTAAAAAGCTCATGGCGCCGTTCACTGCCCTGCGAGAGCTTCACCTGGCAATATCGGAATATTTCTGTGCTTGGGGCTCGACATGGGCGGTCTGTGGCTTCGGACCATGTGCTCGGGAAAACGTTAGGTTCCTTGATCTCAACACAGGGCTTTTGTTGACTGGTCCTCAGCTGGAGATGGCATACACGTGGCAGTGGCAGCAAGGGGGGAGGGTAATGGATATGGATGACTTTGATGATGAGCTTCGTTTTATGCTCGACAATTACACTGGATTAGATTTGCCGGAGCTTGCAAAGATAGAATAAGGCGTCTCGACGCAACAGAGTAGCTCTGACGCTTTCTGATCTTACACGATATGCCACCTTGTGGCCCGGGTCTTGGAGTCGTCACTGCGAGCAGTTCCGGTTCATGTAAGGTGTCAGCACTGATATGACTGAATTACGCATGTAGTCGACTCGCGTCTATTCCCTGGGAGCGACCATGTAGCATCCCAAGATAATATGCAGAGCCAGAAGGCTGCTTGTCTTCTATAGGCTGTCTTCAGTAGGCACTACAAGAGCTTGTACACCTTTCCCTGAAAAATTTTTGCACTAGCTTGCTACTATTAGTGCACCCACTATACCTACTATAAAAGCTTAACACTTGCCTAATAAAGGCAAAACCTCTATATATTTCCCTTAACTGCAGCTTTAAGCTATAGGAATAGAGGCATAATATAATAGAAATATGCCTAACTATATTAGTAATAGCCCCTTAAGCTAAAGCCAGCACTACTAGAGTTTATACTAAGACTTTAATAGCTTTCTCTCCTTTTAACTTATAGTAAGGTAAGTAGTAATAGATCCTTAACACCTAGCTATTATTATAAATTAAACTACTAAAAGGCATTATATTAAAATATACTGCCTAGGCCTTTATACTTTAGTTAAATAATATAATATAATAAGCCTTTATTAAAAAGGAAGTTTTTATATAGCTAGGAAATACCTTTAATACCTTTATAGCATTCTTTTAAAGTATATAAAAGGCTAAATAATAAGCAGAAGCTTAAGTACTAGTTAATATAATTATTAAATATTTTTTTACTAAGGCCTTTATAAATAGTATATAGCTGCTATTTAAAAGCATATACTTAATACCTTTTATATTTATCTCCCTGCCTTTAACACTTATATTAAAAATATTAATAAGCAGCTAGTATAAAGTCTCCTTTATAAAAGTAGCTGCTAAATTAGCAGCTCCTTTAGCCTTAAAGACCTTAATATATACCTTTAATATATCCTTTACCTCCTTATAAAAGGAGGATAACTATATTCTTATTATACTTTTAAATAGCTAGGCACTTAAATAGCGCTAGAAGCCCTTCTAGCTTTAATATAAGCTTTATAAAGCTTTATAGCTTACTTTAAGGGATATCTTAAAGGTTATTAATATAAAAACTAGCTATACTATTAGGCTAGCTATAAAAACAGTATATAATACCCTTTTAATAAAATAAGCTATAGTTTTTAAAATTTATAATAAGGTAACTATTTTACTATTAAAAAAGTAGTATATATATATAGTTTTTAAGATCTTAATTAGCTTTACTGCCTAAAATAGGTTCTAAGTCTAAATAGCTAATCTAGTTTTTAAAAAAGCTAAAGCCTAAATTAAAAAGGTTTTAATATAATATAAGCCTTTATATTATAAAGTAAACCTTAAAATAAGTTATATTACTTAAGTAATCTTTTTTTAAAAGCCTATTTAAACCTTTAAGCTTTTTAACTTTAGCAGCCTTTTTAAAATTATTAATAAAAAGCTAAAGCCTAATAAAATATATAACCTAAGCTGCTAAAACTATTATAATAAATATTACTATACCTAAGTCTTAAAGTATAGCTATTATAATAACTGCTTAAATAACTATACCTATTTTATAAAAGTCTATACCTTACTTATAAAATATATAAACTACTATAGCCCTTTTAAGGCTAGATATAAAAAATACCCTATAGTATTAACCCTTTAAGGGGGCTGGCTAGTTATACTCTTTTAATAATACTTTAAGAATATTTATAAAGCAGGAGGTAAATACTACTTTACTGCTTAAGGCCTAAGCCTTATTATAATAAAAGCTATAGCTATTAATAAGCCTAAAAGGGGTAGTAAAAGAAAGAGAGGCAGAAGTAAAAAATAAAAGGGCTCTAGGCCTTTATATACCCCCTTTAAGTCTAGCTGCTTAGCCTATACCTTTAATAAAGGCGCTAATTTAAGCACTATTATTACTATAGCCCCTTTATTATTTATAGCCCTTAAGCTTATATAAGCCTTCTTTATTAGCATTATATAACTATATAAGACTATAGCAGGGATAAAGAATTATAATAAGGCAGCTAAATTTAAATAATAGCTTAATAATATTAATATAGCTAAGGGCTAGACCTTTACTTAATAAGTAAAAGCCCTTAAAGGAGAAGAGGTATTAGGCTGCCTTAAAAGTACTTAAACTAAAGGCTATAAAATATATATATAGCCTAGTATAATACTTATAAAAGCCTTAAATAAAGTAAATACTAGAATATTTTATAAATCTGCTCTTAAAAGATAAGTATATAATTAGTAGTAATATAAATATATATAATGCCTTTTAAAAGCTAGGTATTAGTATATATAATAAAAGTAACTAGCTTATATAATAGTTTAAGGATTTAAAGATAGTATTTATAAAACAGCTAGGCATAGCTATTTATAAAGCTAGCTATATCTTAAACCTAGTCTTTTTTAATATACTATATATTTAAATAGAGGTTTAACTAAAACTTACTTTTAGCTTTAATTATACTATACTTATTACTATTATACTAAGGCAAGGGATTAAGCTAACTAAATATATATACTACTAGGTTTTTAATAATAAGCTCCCCTGCTTTAAGATAATAATAGGCGTTTATATAGTAAGTATAGCAGACTTAAAGAGCCTAGTAATTAAAGACTAAATAAACAGCTAAATGCAGGGCTTTAATAAGGCCTAGGTAGATATAATATAGGCTATTAGCTATACTATTATAAATAAAGGCTAAAACGCCCCTTAATAAATTAAGGACTACTGCTAAAGGTATTATAAATATAAAGCTATTATTAAAAAGGTAGGCTAGTAGTTAAAGCTAGCTAATGCCACTTATTAAGCATTTTATAAAATAATATAAGCTATAAAAAGGTAATATTAAAAAAGTATTATTAATAACTGCTTTAATAACTAGAAGCTTTATAAAGTAATAGGCTAGTATTATAAAAGAGGGAAGCTAAAGGCACCTTTACTTTAATAAAATAATAAGATTATTAAGGATATATTAAAAAAAGCTAAAGCCTTAGCTTATAATATAGTTTAGCAGTTTACAGCTATTAATAACTTAAATATAAACCTTTTAAAAGGCTAAGAAAAAACTAAGGCTAACTTATAGCTAGATATTATAAAGCTAGCCTTTTATAAAGAGGTTATAAAAAATATAATTAGTATTATAAGTATAGCCCTAAAGGTAAATAAAACTATAGCTTAGCTATTAAAGGCTAGCTAAAGATTTATAAGTTAAAAGGTTATAGCATTATTTAATAAATACTTATAAATAAGCTACTACCTTTATAAATAAAGGCTAGTAAAGGTAGTTATATTATTAAAGGTTAAGAAGAAAGACCTTTTTAGCTTTTACTTTTAAAGACTAATAGTATTAATATTAATACTAAGTAAAGGATTAAAATAACTCCTAACTTATAAAATAACCTAAGCTATACTTATAGCTAAGGTTATTAGCCTTTAATATACTAGTGCCTTTTTAAAAAGGGCTGCTATAAATCTTACTGCCTGCTTTATATATAATATATAATAGGCCTTAGTAATAAAAAAGGTAGTTATACTAATTATAATAAATATTTAAAGGGTATTTAATATACTTTTTACTAAGTAATTTATATACTAACTTTAGTAATAAGGCTAGTACTACTAGCTTATAACTATAATAAGCAGCTACTTATATAAGTGCTAAATTTAAGTTTAGCTAAAAAGTAAAGTAGCTAAATTATAAACTTTAAAATGCAGTACTTTATAAAAATTACCTTAATTACTAATATTATATATCTTATACCTTATAAAGCTACTAAACTAAAATAATAAATTATACTTTAAGTATATAAATAATATAGCGCTTTACTAAACCAGTTACTTCTTAAAAAAGAATATATACTTTATTACTATAAATATAAAGGAAATCTAAGCTTAAAGACTAAAAAATAAGGTCTTTTTTATACTAAAAAAATATAAGGCCTTATATATTACCTAAATAAAGGGCATTAAAAACCCCTTTATATAAGTAAATAATAACTTTATTATTTAGCCTATACTAGTTTACTTAAGTAAAGATAACCTATAGCTGCTTACTTTATAATAGCTAAGGTACTACTTTAATTAAAAACTTAGCTATAAATAACACCTTTAAGAATACTATAATAAGGCTAAGGTAGTTACTTAATACTTATAGTTTATAGCTAATATAAAGTATAAACCTCCTTTAATAGCTACTAGGAAAGCAGCTATAGCTTATATCCTTTTAATAATACTATATAAGGCAGAGGTATAATATAGCAGGTACTTAAAGCTGCTTAATAATTAAGCTTAAGCTAGCAGCTGCTAAGTTAGCGCCTAAATAAGGTAAGTAATTAATATAATTTAATAAGTCCTTAATTTAGCAGTATAAGCAGTATTACTAGTATAAAAGACTACCTTAATAGCTATACTAGCTAAGGATACTAGGTTTTTTATAGCAGTAGGCGCCTTTAAGAAATAATAGCTTTACTTTACTTTTTAGCTATAAATAGTAAATTAAAAACACCTACTTATTTAAAAACTTAAAATACTACTTATATAATAAAAATAAAGGGCAGATATATATTTTTAACTATAAATAAATATTTAAATTACTACTTTAATATATTATAAAGTTTTAAGGCTAATTCTAGCCTAATATACCTATAGCCTAGGTTTAATTATAAACTTAATAAAGGGGATAAATAAAGTAAAGGCAGTATTAGCCTTTATAAACTAGTATACCTTCCTCTTTAATATTAATATAATTATCTTTATAAATAATTTAAAAGGCAGACTAAAGCTAAAGGACTAGAATAAGGTTAAATATAAATAAGCAGCCTACCTTAAAAAAGGCGCCTTATTAATAAAAAAAGGGTATATATAACTATATCTTAATTTAGTTATTTTTAATATAAAGGCAGTAAGTATACTATATAAGCTATAAGCAGCCCTCTGCCTTATAAGTAAAGGAAATAAGGCAGGGATAATATAAATTTACCTAAATAATATAGCTATAATTTAATATATAAAAGGCAAGGTATTAAATATATTATAGTAGGCATTCTTATACTTTTAAAAGCTAGTAAGAAATTAATAAGTATAATTAAAGTAGTGCCTTAGCTATATAAAAATACTAAGGAATAAAATAGCAGACTTTTTTATAAAATAAGGCAGTAAGGCTGCTTAAGACTTAAAGGCTAAAGCTATACTTATTAAAATCTAAATAGTATAAAAAAAAGATATAAAGGCTATATACTAGGTAAAGTAGGCTTAACTTTTTAAGCTATAATTAAAAAGGTACTAGGATTATAGCTTAAAGTATAGCCTTTAATACCCCTTTAAGCTCTTGCTTAAATAACCTACCTTATACTAACTGCTAATATTAAGAATAAAATATAAGGACTTTAAATAGTATTATTAGAAGTTTAATTATAAAAGAGTAAATTTATACTACTTTTATAAAGTAAATAAGATATTAAAGTATATAGTCTTTTACTTAAAAACACTTAACTACTTCTAGCTATAGCTATAAATAAAAGACTAGCTATAAAAGAAACTATATATAAATAGTAAAAAGAGGATATACTTATAAAAGCTTTTAGTAAACCTAAAAGCTTTTAAAATATTCTTAAAAAAGACTAGCTTTTATATAAAAATCTGCCTATATTAAAAAGCTAAAAACCTTATATAATATAAAAAAGAGAGTCTTTTTACTTATATACTTATATTTATAATTATATATATAAGTTTTAAAATAAATTAATACTTTTAATAAAGTTATAGCGTTTTTTTACTTTTACTTATACTATATTATTAATATTATATTATATTACTTTCCTTTATTATACTTTAATACTAGATATATAATATTTTATATATTTTTAATACACTAGGGCACTTGCCTTACTAATATATATATATAGGATTTAAGGAAATAATAATTACCTACCTTAAAGCTGCTTTTAAACAGCCTATAGCTATAAATAAGACTAGTACTGCTTTATAAATAAAGTTAAGGAGATATAGTAAAATAAGAATATGCCCCTCTGCCTTTTAGTTAAACTTATTAAATAGGTTTAGATATAACTTTAGGATTAATATACTTAGGGGCCTAGTAATCACCCTTATTTATATATAGCTAGTATATAAACAGCCAGGGCCTAGCCTAGCATACCCTATGCCCTTTAGGAGGCTTAGCGGCGACTGCTATATAGTCGCTGCCCTGGCGTTAAATAACACTAACTAACCAACCTACAAGAGCTTGTACACAGAGTAGAAGACTGTAGTGGTAGTAGCAGAGTAGAAAGTCTTATGATATCTGGATATAAAGTAGCAGTAATAAGAATATTAATTTGCTGGCATGCTGAATACCTTAGCTAAGTCAGTACACTGGTAAAGGCACCTGTAGATAGTCATTCCTTGTTTCATCCGTGTGTGCCACCACCACTCTTCGCGCTGTCTTAAGGTAAGATACCTACTGGTTGAGTAACCATGCTTCTTTCGTCCATATGCCCCAAGATTGCCTCCTCCTATTTGAGTTCTATTCAAGAGCTACTATTGGTTGCATCGTTTACACGTAACCTCTACCTCACCGATATCGAAGGGCGGTATCACTACCCTTCACGTAGAGAGACGCGAAAGCGCCAAGTCTCTATGGGCCTGACGAGGTGCGCATTAAGATAGATTGACTCAATGAAGCAACAATGAAATTGGATTTGCATGACATCTAAGACTGTCCGATAAAGAACCCGTATGAAACCTTGTGCAGTCTGCGTTTCATGATCTCAACTCAAGGTGAGAAGAACGCGCTTATGTAAACGTAAACATTCACCTCAACAACAACAGAAGGTCCGGACCAGACTTTCGCTCCTTCCGTTAATTTTCCCACAACCAACCTCGCCACGCGTCCCGAAGCCGCAGTTCCTGCGAGAAGAAAGATTCGACATCATCGGAATCCGACTCCTACCGCAAACACTTCCACGAAAGGCAGCGAGAAGCACTCATTACGATCCCCTACCATCACGCGCTCAGCTCTGCAGCCATCGCATACTTTCCAGCCTGCCGCCACCACACAAGCACGGATTCTGCACACCGAGACATGGAGACTTTTACTCTCATGGCCCCTCATCTCGTGGAAAAGGACGAATGGACGGCTGACCTTCATGGTCTACTCTTCTCCGGCATGAGATTCCTCGCCAAGATGCTGACTGTTCCAGTCATGCATAAGAGCTGCCCCGAGCGAAAAGTCCACTTGCAGGTTGGAAATTTGCCAGAAGACGGCCCTCAGCTACCTAGCCTTGGTGGCCTCCCGACCGAGTTACACCACGAACTATTCAATCTTCTTGACGACTTGAAAGATGTTGTCAGCCTTGGACTAGTGAATCAGCATTTCTGCAAGCTTGCTCCAGAGCATGTCCACAGTCGGATTGCCGGAAAATATGGGCGTTGGGCTAATGAAAAGCTTGTATGCGTGGGAAGCAACATTGAGCCGGGCGATTTCCCCCCAGGGCTGTTTTCTCAAGCTCAGCTACGTGCCATCAACAAGCATTTCGGTTCCGAAGAACCAGAATTCGGTCCCACGATGCTGACCCTTCAACACTTGGTCGATTCTTCCCTGCTTCCAGCATGGCCCAGGGAAAGTATCAAGGTCCAACGTCTACGGGAGCATTTCTGCGCCGCGCCGGGTGTGACCACCGCCATGTTGAAAAGATTGGGTCTGCCCCTGGACATCGATGGGTGGGACAAATACTTCCCCAGAGATGAACCATGGATCCTGCGTAACCTTACCACGAAAGAGTTTGTCCGCGCAGAGGCCACTGCAATGTCACAGGGATGCGTTCAGGGCCCAGTTCTTGATCTTGTGGGGTTTGGCGAAGCCGTCATAACACGCATATGCTGGTCTTCGTCCGGCAATGGCATAAGAGGTGCCCCAAAGATCTGTCGGGGGGTATGGGCGGGACACCGCTTCGACATCACGACGCTTGTCACACATCTGGAAGAAACTGGCGGAGGAGCAGGGTGGACTGATGCAAGCGAGGAGGTTGCAAATGAAATTGACAAAATTTGGCGCAGCAACTTCGGCAAAGACTGGCGTCGAACCCTCCCAAAGGGCCCGGAGGACATACTCATGTTAACCTGGTGATATGACCGCTTGTGAAAGCCTGGACCTCGTTAAACTCGAACGATCGGCATGTGGAGGAATTTAGCGGGCACCATTTGATGATGAACTGGTAAGTCCACCATATCACTACATCTTCCGCAGTATGCTTGTCGTCTCGAGATATACTAACAGTCTCTGATCAAGGTCACATAAAGGGCCTTTCCTGCCCAATGTCTTTTCGCAGCTATATCTCGACAAATATGTGCACATAGATACAGCAATGCTGAAGCTCTATCAATTGCGCCGCCACATTCACATGCCATTCATCGCTATATCACCGCCTCTCACCTAGCCAACGCACCATCATCGCCTCTGTCCTCCCTCTAGAAGCAGGTGACGAGAACCATGAACTTGCTCACAGGGCCCTCGACTATAGAGGAAGTCCGTCGTCTGGGCATTATGGCGCCGCAATGGTGGAATGCAGATGCAAGTGTGTCCCGAAAGCCGAATTTGGGGTAACGATAGACCGAGCTCATGGACTTGGCAGCTCTACTAAGGCCCAGGTATCAAGTTGGGCTTACAGAAACTGTGAGAGGATGGACGTGTGGGTGAGTCGAACCAGATACCTATGCGACTTGGAGCACAGACGGGACTGGAAAAACTGCTGGACAGCAACGGCACGCTTCAAGCATGACGGTGTGAAGTTTCTTGTAGATCTCTTAGCAACTTCAAGCGCAGGTCCACGCGTTGCCACTGAGGCCAGAGGCTCCAAGGTCATATGCCACCAGTTCAGGAACACTCATGTGTATATCACAACGCTCATGTGTCATCATCTTCGGTAGTTGCGAATCACAGCATCCGTGGTATGTGTATAGCAAATATGACGATGACCTGGGAGACGGAGAAGGCATCAGGTGGTCCAAAAGAATAAATATTACACTATTATACAAATGATTGTTCGATCATCCAACTTTTAGATCAATGTCCCAGACCTTCGTTGGCACCAGCCCGATGACCCGTAGTTACATTACCCGCAGTGCCATTACCCGCCGTCGTATGGCCTGCAGTCACATCTCCAGCAGTCCTGTTGCCCTCAGTCCTACCGCTCTCCAAGTCCTTGCCATCAAACGTCGGACATCCCTCATACTGTTCCTTCATACGAGACTCTCTGCTCTCGGGCAGCCCCTGTCCACCCGTAAACTCACTCAAAGTCTTCGTCGGCAAGACCTTGGTACCATGGTGCACGGCCGCAGCCTGATGGGTTTCATGGACAGGGACAGTTGTGTGGATGACTTCTGGCGCCACCGTCTCCTTGTGGATGACGGGCTGGATGTGCTCATGGACGTGGTGGTGGACGCGCTCGCCGGCGATAATGGGTGCTTCGGTATGGGTCTCGTGAGTCTTGTGGTGGGTGACTGAGGCGTCTTTGTATTTGGCGGCATCGCGCTCGAGGAAGTTGTGCACATCCTTGTCGCTGCCGTGGTCAAAGGACCGGTGCTCTGTGGGGAGGACTCTCTCATGATGCTTTTCGGGGCTGCAAAAAAGAAAAGAAAAGGTTAGAGATTGGATGCTTGCATGTTGATGGGAAGAGTTTCTCAAGACATACAGGACTTCCTTGTGTTCCAGCGGCTGAACCACAGTATGGTGGTGATCTTGATGGATGTCCTTTTCCACTGCGGTCCTCACGTGCTCCTGCTCGTGGGGACGGACATGTTCGTTGGTGACGGGCTGTCGGACTTCTTCGTCAACGGTGGTGTCGTGCTTCCCGTCTTTGGAGATGAGGTCACCGACGGCTTTCTTGACCTTGTGCATGATGGCGTGTGTTTGAGGTGTTTGGAGTGTTTGATGGTACGTTGTGTAAGAAGATGGAGAGGATTTGATATTGAAAACCTTCTGAGCTCTGCACTCGGATGTCCTCTACTTATACCTCGTCCTCACCAGCGACTCCATGCAAGTGCACGTCATCTCCTCGATCAACCCAGCCAGATGCCTCGGACCGCAACTCTAATTCTTCCTCCGTAATTGCTTGTACTACTACTATGAGCTCCCCATGGACGCGTACCCCAGATCGGCAGGAGAATGAAAAAAACAAGCTCATACGCCAAGATTCTGTCATCTTGATACCGGTAGTGCATCGTGTGGCTTGCCCACATGCATGTGAGAAAAGCAGCATCCAAGCTTACCTGCAGCTCCCCAAGAGCTACCATATCCAATCGCCACCTTCTATGACACAACGACTATTATGTATACCGTTGGGCATATCGGGTAGCATACCGAGATAAGCTCAGGCGCCATTCATTGGACGCCAGGACAAGAGAAAAGAGGCTCAGCGGGAGCTGGTCTTCCGGTGGGCCTCCAAGCCGTGAAGCTCGACCTGGTGTAAGTTGCGGTAGATCGCCTCGATGGCATAGTATAGCACGTCATATAGCGCACCGTCTGGCCCAGCTTCAGGTTTTTTGATAGTCGCGATTGCTTTTCAGCTGAACGTCGGGGGGGGCCCACCATCCTACCAATCACGGCTCATGTTTTTTTTTTGTTCTTGTTTGAACGCAGTTCCGGATCTTGACACGCCGTGATTGAGAATCGCGTCGTCGGTGAGCTTCATCGCCACAACTGAACTGCAGGCAGCCCAGCTGAATGCCAATCTACGAGATGGACCCCCGGACCGTTTTCACCGCTCCATTTGCCCGCTGTTCCATTTCATCATCAGCGCTTATACATACGATGTGTTATGTCGTGGAATGAGAAAATGTCAAGAAAACATAAATGGTTGACGCCTCAGTCGGCGTTAGTTGTGCATTGTTGTCGCTATGCTTAAATATCTGATGGACGCCTCTTACGAAACGGCGGCGAAACATTCAAAAAAACAACAACTCCTCACGGTGCCTACTCTATTCAAACAACAGCCAGCAGTTGCATCATTCTCATAATGACAGCGCTCAAGACGTGTTGCAATAGCCCTTTGACCTCGGCATTGCCCGAAATCGAGATTGACGCAAAGCCGTAGCGCTCCTTGGTCAGGCCACGTACTCTAGCCCCATCCAGATCGGGATGCCGATTGCATCACGAAGTCGCCCGTTCTGAGATTTTCTCAAAGGAGTGGCTAGCAAGCACTCAGCGTGACCGTCCATCGTCCTAATAAACCTAGACCTTGAGGGCTGCTTGAGGTGGCCAAGAGGGCTTTCAGATCTTATATTATGCTTTCATCTCTCCTCACAAAAACTATGGAAAAGCGATTTCTTCATACCACAGTCGTATTGTAACCTCGGAACGTTGAATAGCTGAGAGGATGCGATACTGGTTGCTACCTTACTATACGTGTAGCCACTCCGCTTTTCAGCTATCCGTTTTCAGCAACAGAGAGACCCATATCGACAATCTTGCCTTGATCGTGAACCAGCAGAAACCAGAATTGGAACCGAAGTGGACAGATGCATTACTGGACACAATGACGTGATCATAATCGGCCTCCAGAGCTTGGATCATGAGATTCTCTGCATGCTGATCAATCGTGCCTATCCCCTCGCCCAGAGTAATACCTTGATTGCTATCTTTCTCTTAAGGTACCTATGCAAGACGCGTGCCGGATAGAGGAGCTCTTTCTGGCTATGAAATAGGCCCAAATTTGCAGTGGTGGTTTGGAGAGAGCCGCCCCAGCAAATGGGACCCCATACTCTAACTTCCCATTAAAGCTATCACGCCACATATCTAGGGGCAATTAACCTCAGTCATCAGGGCTATAGGAAAGCATTCAGTGTGGCGACCTTGGTATCAGCATGGGATATGGCCGAAGCACAAAACAAATCACGTTGTAAAGCTTGTTTAGTTCAAGGATGTTTTACCCATTGATGGGGAATAGTACTAGGATAATCTAAGAAGAGTCCTCCTATTTGGACTGTAGCATATCTCAATTTGAACTGTAGTAGTCTGTGCATAGGGTAAAATTCCTGCGCATATACCGTTAAGTCTATTACTGCACACCCGCTTATAGTGTAAGCTAATGGCAGGCTTGTCTTTATATAATAACACTATATAAGGTCACGGCTTCTATATATACCTACTATCGCAGCCGACCACCTTATTATAGCGCGAGTTTAATAATAACGCTTAAAATTGCTATATAACTAAGTAGGTGGCTGCAGTAGTAGTAGAGGCAGTAGTAGAGGCAGTAGTAGTAGTAGCAGCAGTAGTAGCAGTAGTAGCAGTAGCAGCAGTAGTAGCAGTAGCAGCAGTAGCAGCAGTAGTAGTAGTAACAGCAGTAGCAGCAGTAGCAGATACTTCATATAATATTAATTCTATATGCCCTCTACCTTATAATATCTCCTTAATAATATTAACTTCTAGTATATAACACTGTATTCTAGTGCTTAGGTATAGGATATTCTACCTAGGGGGTTGGTATAGCTGGTGGCATAGACCACTACAGTTTAAATAGAGATATGCTATAGGAGGACTCTTCCTAAATAGCCTGAATCTGAATTGCAATGATCTGAAGAACAAGCTGTATCCGCCTCCTGTCTCTGTAGGAAGAACTCGATATTGCGCCACTTGAATTGCCCTCTTCAAGGTCACGATGCCGGGAGCTCAAACAGCGTATCCTGCCACGCGGCTCGATTCTTGCGAGCTGGCTCTCGTTCACTCTTCGGAGGCGTGTGGGCTCCAAGCGGACGTCTCGAGAGTATAAGCGCAAAGCTCGTGGCACTGGGTACGGTTATGATGAGCAGTAGTGACATATATACTGTGCGTATATTATCCGTCTCACGACCAACATGAAGTGTCAGCTTCAAGGTACAAGCAGGAATTGCCTTGTGGACATTAGCTTGGCTATGTCGTATTCGAAAGCAGATGCTACTTGAGATTGCCTCAACATTGAAGCACGGACTACGGCGAGGGCGCAGCGGGATTTTGGGCGGTCCTGTAATGATAATGGGCAAAACTCACAGGCTATTGACAGGGCATGCGAGGTGATGGTATTTGAATTTCCTTCTCTTTCTTGATATATGAGCTTCTATGCACCTGCGGCTCAGTGTCAAATTACCTTGGAGCATATTGAAAAGGGCCGTTTATGACGATAAAGTGATTACTTTCAATGTTATTTACTGGAGGGGGGAATTAAGGGACAGCCACATACCTAGCATGTAAGATATAAGTAGAAATCCTTGATAAAAAGATGGTTTCTTGATGAATTAAACAGCGTTTGAGTAAATTCGAGATAAGAGCTTTCATGTACTCTGATTGTTCGGTCACATACTAAACCCGCGCACAAGATGGTGCGAAGATGTCTCGAAAGTGAATCGTGACCAGCAACTTTACCTACAAATGTGTGGCTTCTTATGCAAAAGGCTACCTAGTCACAACATCGCCGGAAAACGCCATTGGCGCATAATGACGCTCCAGTTGTAAGTGTCCGCAGCTTCAATAAACCATTGCATGTATAGAAGAAGAGCTGCGCCCCCCTTACTTCTAGGAAATCTCTTCCGAAGCTGCTACCACTTCTTCAGCAGCCTCATCGAAACCTCAACATGCGTCGTCCACGACTCCCACTCCTACCCCAACTGCTGCGTGTTTTCAAAAGCTGCCACCGTCACCGGAACCATAGTCGAAACATCTTGCAGCTTCCGCTGGAGATTCTTCTTCTCATCACCGAGAAGTTAGCTCTGCACGATATGTTTCTTCTTTCGCATACCTGCAGAGCGTTTCGGCACGTTACAGTTCAAGATTGGCGCGCTGCCGTCCGACGTCTCTCCTTCCGGGATAGGATCGACTTCTGGGCAGGGCTGGCTTACACTTTGCCCGGTTTCTGGGTCTGTTCAAAATGTTGCAAACTCCACCCTATTCACACCTCGGACTTCCCAATGTGCTTGAGAAGCTCGCGGGGGCAATGGTTTCCTTGCGCGGTTGACTATTCCCAAAGATATGGCGGGGATTACTTTCAGGTTCAACACCATCACATACAGCTTGCGTTGAAGCTATCTCGCCGGGGGAACATGCATCAGAAATACCTCGCGGGACTGATGAGCACATGCATATATCCGACGCACTATCTGAAGCGGTTCAAACAGTCCTACGAGGCGGAGCCAAGGATCATTAACGGACAGTTTCTGTTACGCGAGACGTGGAATCTCAGCAGCGTGACAAGTACATGTTCGCCGCTGTTTTCCGAAGGGTCAGTGTTTCGTCTCCGAGTCTGCTCGCACCTGCAGCTCTTTTACAGCAATCTTGAGAGATCCCGCAATCTGAAGAGGTTGATTCTCAGTGCGAGGGCACAAGTTGCCAATCTCACGCAGCGCGAGCTCATGGCCATCTCCAGGGAGGCCACTCTGGTCGAAGATGAGATTGAGTTGGCTCTCGAATCCCCGGGTTGGTGGAGATACAATTCTTGCATGCGCTGTCACACCGATTTCGGCGTCATGATTACCCCAGGCAAGAGAATCGCGACAATCCAGGCCTGGCATAATTTTGGCGTGGAAGGGTCGCCGATGGATGCAACTTGGAGGGCACATGCGGACGATGCGCACTATACGACCTTTGAGTGCTTTTTTCGCAATGCGCACCTGCATCATCGACATGGTAGTGTTCGGGAGTTATACTATGAGAGCACCCCTAGAGGTAAACAGCCGTCCCAGAAAATACGATGGATGCCCTACATGTAGTAAGGCACCCAGGAGCTCAGGGGGAGTTTTCGGGCAATGGCTGAACGTTTCAACGCTTTAGCTCTTTCTCACTCATTAGACTTCAACATCGCTATAGTAGCGTTCGAAAGACGTGACGGGAATGTGTCGTAAAGAACATGAGGTGTACTTACGGGAACCTTGATAGAACGAAGGGCTGTAATAGAATTCAAAAGACAATATATCTGAGTTAATACTATGACTACTGGTAAACCTATATCAGCTACATAGAGAGATATGCAAGCATATAAAGTAGAGGCTTGTTTAGTGAACCAAAGCGGCGTTGCTCTGTATCATTTCTCCATATAATCCATGTAGAGAAGCTAAAGCTACCTCTATATGTTGGTTTTATCTTGGCTATATATAATTTTTTGGTAGCATCACTGGCTGTGATAATCTGTCCAGTCAAGGTAGCCTCTGATCACCCGATGCAGCGTCTGTCTCCTGTCTTCTTGTTGTCAATGTTCTCTAGAAGATTATAGCATGTGTATATATCGCCTGTGTACTCTCTGTTCATTAATTATCAAGGTGATTCCCTGGTGTATATTATCAATGACTTGCGTTGACCGTCCATGTTACTGATATACCGCCTGGTGCACTGTTACAGATGCCTGTCACTACCTTTTCTTCCTTTTGTAGTTCAAGGATCTTCATCTCTTCATAGTTGACAACATCTTGTTTGTCGTCATTTCTTTTCCAACATATGTCTTTTTGGTGTTATAGTACAGGCAGCTATATACTGTGTTCATGTATATATGCTGGGTGATGGATGATACACATTTGCCCCGCTACGTCGTGGCCTTTGACGTTCATCTTTGGCTCCCACCTTTCTTCTATTTTTAGCCTCTCCTTTCCTATGCCATTGTCCCCCGGCGACAGTCCACAATCATGATGAAGCTTCAATCTCATCCAAATTCTTAATGTTCAACTCGGAAATGCGCAAAATGGTATATCGATGCTTGCTCTTCGCCTGGCGCTTCCTCCTCTGCCTCCTCTTTGTCTTGACCTTGATCCTCATTGGCTCTGACTCCGTTCCCAACACCGTCGCTCGGCATTCAAACACCCTCTCATCGATGCTCGGCGCACCCTTCATAGTGTAGTCTCGGCTACCGATGACGCTCGCGCGATTCAGTCGCAGCACATCTCCGGGGAGGACACCCGGCATCTTGAAGGGCAGGCGGATCTGGTCGCCCTCCTGGACCAGGTAGGGGAAGCCGTGGATGTGGACGGTGATGTAGTGGCCGGGCTGGGCGGCGAGGAGAGGCAAGAGAGTCTTGACGGAGTCGGGGATGGGAGCGGGAGGTTCGGCAGGGTGGCTCTTCTTGAAAGCGATGGGTCGGACTTGGGAGCCGGTCGGGTTGGCGGCGTTGTTAGGATGATGAATCGGCGAGATGGGCTCGACGATGGGAGCCGTGGTGTTGAAGGCGCATCGAGGCTGGATCTGCTGGAATGGTGCGATTCGAGGCAGGGCGCGGCAGCTGGGAGCCCTCAGCTCCAGCACGGAGCGAAGGAGTGCTCTGCTCATGTCGATGATTGTGATCAACTGCAGCGCCGGAATTGTGCTGCTTTTCGGAAACAATTGAGAGCTTCTCCCAAGTATTCCTGGGCAAATTCAATGGTCTGATGAAGTTGACCTGGAAGCTTTGCGATTTTGCGGGCTTGGCCGGATTAGTGTGGCGCCGGGGTCCGATGAAATCTTGGCGCTACGCCGACTTAGCGCGGTCAATTGTAACTTTTTTTTCCTCTTCTTCTCTGAGACCGGGAATTTTTCTGCCATATCTGAACCAGGCTCGGTTCTCCACTGGAAATTGAAAAGAGAGTCGACAACAAACACAGCCCAACATGGTATGTTATATCTGGATATATGGAATCAGATTGGACCTGATTTCAAGATGGAAATGGCCCGTCTAACTCCCTGCAGCCTCAGAACGAGTATATGGAGCGGTGGCGCAAGCTGCACGGCCGCCGCCTCGACCACGAAGAACGAACCCGCAAGCGCATCGCCCGTGAAGGCCACAAGGCCTCGCAGGACGCCCAGAACCTGCGCGGCTTGCGCGCCAAGCTGTACCAGAAGAAGCGCCACAATGAGAAGATCCAGATGAAGAAGGCCATCAAGGCCCACGAGGAGCGCAACGTCAAGACGGCCGACGAGAAGGAGCCCTCGCAGCCGCTGCCCTCGTACCTGCTCGACCGGTCCAACCCCTCGACGGCAAAGGCCCTCAGCAGCGCCATCAAGAACAAGCGCGCCGAGAAGGCGGCCAAGTTCAGCGTGCCGCTGCCCAAGGTGCGCGGCATCAGCGAGGAGGAGATGTTCAAGGTGGTCAAGACGGGCAAGAAGACGCACAAGAAGGGCTGGAAGCGAGTCATCACGAAGCCGACGTTTGTCGGGCCCGACTTTACCCGGCGAAACCCCAAGTACGAGCGCTTCATCCGGCCCATGGGTCTGCGATACAAGAAGGCCAACGTCACGCATCCCGAGCTGGGCGTCACCGTGCAGCTGCCCATCATCAGCGTCAAGAAGAACCCCCAGAACCCGCTGTACACCCAGCTGGGTGTCCTGACCAAGGGAACGATCCTCGAGGTCAACGTCAGCGAGCTGGGACTGGTGACTGCGGGAGGCAAGGTCGTCTGGGGCCGATACGCCCAGGTTACGAACGAGCCCGAGAACGAGGGCTGTGTCAACAGTGTGCTCCTGGTCTAAGATTTCCCGCGGATGGTGCTGGTACAAGGATGGAAACTTGCAAAATTCGTTTCGACAAGCGGCTGTGGCTGCCTAGTTGCATGCATTGGCGTTTACGGCGTTTGGTATCGATGAGTGCTTGATGCGAAGGAAGAAAGAGACGAGATGGTAGATCCCGATTAGGAGGCATGGAGCTTCCGGGGGTATCACTGCTTTGCACTCATAAACGAATGGGGGATATATCAAGTAAATAATCACGAAGTTCCTCTTGCTGCTTTGGTTCATCTTGTCGTACGGTGATAGGCAGACGCAGTATTGCCGTGACAGATTGAGGGGAGAATCTTTGACTGTGCTTCTGCAAAATCTTGTCCACTTCACATACCCATTCTATTATCCAGCAATCAAATTATCCAGCAATCAAATTCTGCGACCAATCGTCTCGTCCAATGACTTTCTCCATAGCAATCCCAATCCAATCTCAAACTACAAAGCAGGAGCCTCGACAATCAATCTCATACACGACTCCAGCAGTCGTGCACGGTTTTTTTTCCAGTGGCTCAACCGCCACCAAACCAGCCAAAAGGGACCAGACCCTCCCAAGCCCAAAACGGATAGCGGGGATGCCAACTCCGTTCTGAAAGGCGGTGACAGCGATAGAACCAATTTTCTGCCCGACCAAAAAGAAAGAATTGCTTTTTTTTTTTTTTTTTTTTTTGCCGCTCCGCCTTTGGACAGCCTTCCAGCAAAGCCTAAGAAAAAAAAAGTTAGAAAACGGGACAACCAAAGGCACCTTCGTCTCTTTTACCTTCTGCAAAACATCTCTCTTTTGCAGTAAACTCTTCCCTTTTTTCCCATTCTTTGTCCTTGCGCCCTTTGCAAGACAGAATAATAGACCTCACGGCGAAATAGACGGGCCTTTCTTTCATCCTTTCCTCTCTACCAATCTTACTACTTGCCCAAGATGAGCGGCGACAACATGGAAGTCGAGTTGGCGGAGCAGAAGCTCAAGACGATGGAGCACAGCGAGCAGCACTACTTCAAGAGGTATGTACCATGGCATCTCTGGAGGAGAGAAAAGGGGAACAAGATTGGATTCCCCTCTCTTTCTTCTTTATCAATTACCTGTCTAGTTGCGCGAATCTGGGGATCCTGCGAGAATCAGCGGCTAATATATACCTTACGTCTAGCTACGACCATCACGGTACGAACAATCTCCAATAAGAAAGAGAAGCATCGCGTTTGCATGGGAGAATACATTATCTGACATCAAGTTTCCTTTTTTCGACGCGCGCAGGAATCCACGAGGAGATGCTGGTGAGCAATTGTTCCCCCCTCCCCCTCTCTGCTGCATATCATTGCCCCTCCTTTGCTGCGAAGTCGAAGTGGCAGCGCATTGCCATCACCAGATCTACCCCAAAATCCACACGCGAAACAAGATGTAAAAAGATAGCAAAGTACACAGACTGACAATTCTGGCTATGCAGAAAGATGAGGTGCGCACACGGTCGTACATGAACGCCATCATCCAGAACAAGCACATCTTCAAGGACAAGGTCGTTCTCGACGTTGGATGCGGCACCGCGATCCTTTCCATGTACGTTGTAGCACCCTCATTCTCGCACCACGATTGCGCTGCGCCATCGAACCTTTACAACCTAATCGAAGCGCGCCGCAGCACGCAACGAGGCAGGATAACCAGAAAATATAATGGAATTGATGATACTGACCGGGTATCGCTTCTAGGTTCGCCGCCAAGGCCGGCGCCAAGCATGTCATCGGCGTGGACATGTCCACCATCATCTTCAAGGCCCGCGAGATCGTCAAGGTCAACGGCCTGTCAGACAAAATCACCCTGATCCAGGGCAAGATGGAGGAGATTGAGCTGCCGTTCCCTCAGGTTGACATTATCATCTCCGAGTGGATGGGCTACTTCCTCCTCTACGAAAGCATGCTGGACACGGTCCTGTACGCCCGAGACAAGTACCTGGTTAAGGACGGCTTGATCTTCCCCGACAAGGCCACCATCTTCTTCGCCGGTATCGAGGACGGCGACTACAAGGAGGAGAAGATTGGATGTGAGTTTTGGTTTTCTTTAACCCCCATATTGTTCTCTTGACACTGGTTCTGACAAGAGGCTCAAAAGTCTGGGACAACGTGTACGGCTTCGACTACACTCCTCTCAAGGCCACCGCCCTGTCAGAGCCCCTCGTCGACACCGTCGACCTCAAGGCCGTCGTCACCGACCCCGTCCCCGTCCTCACCCTCGACCTCTACACCTGCACCACCGCCGACCTCGCCTTCAACACCAGCTTCACCCTGACGGCCAAGCGCGACGACTTCATCCACGCCCTCGTCTCGTGGTTCGACATTGACTTCACCGCCTGCCACAAGCCCATCCGCTTCTCCACCGGCCCCCACACCAAGTACACCCACTGGAAGCAGACCGTCTTCTACATCAAGGACGTCCTCACCGTCCAGGACGGCGAGGAGATCCAGTGCAAGCTCGACGTCAAGCCCAACGACAAGAACCGCCGCGACCTCGACATTGAGATTGACTACAACTTCCAGACCGGCGACGCCAACAGGACCGCTGCCGGCCACAGCACCTACAGGATGTGCTAAAGCGTATCCTTTTTCCTTTCCTTTTTTTTTTTCAATCTCGTGAAACAACTTAAAACTCTTCCTCTTTCTGAACTGGCGTGCTTGGTGAAAGAGAGCAAAAAAAAGATACATGTAGCGGGGAAACTTGCAAAAAAGGGCAACAAAGTAAAGGGCATGACGAGGAAAGATGACAAAGAAAGGGAGCTTCTTGACGGCGTATATACATGGCTTTCCTTTTATTTTCTTATTTTTGTTTCATTTTGCGCGTGTAGGCGGAGAAGGGCTTACAAGTAGATAGACCAAGAAGAGGCGAAGTGCTACAAACTCGACTGAAGCAGCTGGTAGAAACGAATGAAAGAATTGAAAAAAGATACCATTGTCTACCTAAATCTATGGGAGTTCTGTCGACCAAGACTCAAAGTGACTCCCTCTTTTTTTCCTTTAGCTTGTTTCTTAGCTTGTCTCTTCAATTTGTTTCTTCCGCGTGTTATGCACCACCACATCATGAATGTCAGGCAAATACAACACTGGCAGGTAAATAATGGACATCTATATTGTCGGGTTGCGAATTATCTATCAGTCGCTTGGCTTCATTTTCTCCATAGTACTATTTTCCTCTTTTCATGTGTTGTAGAACTGACTCGATAATGTTTTGCAGCAATCTTTGCCGGACCCAGATGTTCATAAACGCATCATGCATTTTCGTCAGGCCTTCTCTCTGATTCCTCCACCCTTGTCTTTTTTTTTTTTGGTTTGATTTCTGATTTTACTGTTTTCAGACTTATCATGGCCTACAATGGGCTATGTAACTCATTGAATTGGCATCTCACGAGCCGTATTGCTTGATAATGCTGGCCACCTTGGTAGCCAACTCATCGGCCTCGTGCCTCGTCGCAGCCTCGGCATACACACGGCACGCATTCTCGGTGCCGCTAGCGCGCGCAAAGGAGCGAGCCGTCGTGTATTTCCTAACACACTGGTCAATCTCGTCCTGGGCACCGGGCGGGTGGCTAAGGCGGCGCTCGGCGTCGGTGGTCTCGAAGATGTCCTTGTTGGCGACCTCGACACGGACGAGGCGGTTGGGCAGGTCGGTGTAAGTGGTGGCCCAGTCCTGCAGGGACCACGCCTTGTGGGCCAGAATCACCTCCACCATGAGCATGTCGGAGATGGCGTCGCCGACGGTCTGGTTGATGAGGTCGCCGACGGCGGCGAGCGTCTCGAGGGCGTCCTTCTGGGCGGGCGACTGGGGCTTCGTCTCGCGGAAGGCACGCAGAGCCTCCTGGGAAAAGACGACGGTGCCGTGGCCGTTGGCCTCAAAGTAGACGCCAATGTCGAACTGGCAGGCGGCGTGGTGCAGGTGCTTGACGCCCGTCGGAGTAAAGACGACGGGGAGCTGCAGGTTCTTCTCAATGTACGTGGTGCTGGCGCCGTTGGCGTAGGCCGTCTGGACAACGCCGATGCGGAGGTCGTCCTGCAGGCCGGCGGAGCGGACGAGGTCGCTGATGAAGGAGGCGTTGAGGGACGAGATGCGATCGCCGTCCAGCATGAAGAAGCCGGAGTCGGGGTCGGCCCAGTAGTAGATCAGACGGTCAGCATCGCCATCGAGCGAGCAGCATCGGGCCTCGGGAGCTGGCTTCAGGCTGGGGGGAGCTCGCTGCTTGGTCTTGACAAAATCGGCACCGCACTAGAGAATTCTGTGTTAGCTCGGCTCGCAACCCGCAAAGTATGCAAAGCTACTTACGTCAAGGTTGAGAACCTCGGGTCGCAGCACGTCGTCGTTGATGATCTTGACGTTGAAGCCAGTGACGTCCTTGGGGATGACCTTGAGCAGCTCGGCGAGCTTGGGGCCTCCGACGCCGTTGGCGCAGTCGACAATCAGCTGGCCCTGGACCTTGCGGCCTCGCAGCGCGCGCACGAAGGCCTCGGACAGCTTCTTGTAGTAGCCCGCCTCGCTGACCTCGCCGTAGGCCTTGGGGGTGCCCTCGGTGTTGACGCAGCGGGTCAGGTAGTGCAGCTGGGGCGTGGTGAGGATCTTGTAGTCGGTGTACTCGATGCCGGTGGCCTCGAGGGCGTCGGCCAGGGCAGTAACCAGGCTGTGGCCCGAGGGGCGGGTGTCGCGGCCGTAGACGACGCGGCCGGGGCTGCTGAGGTCGATCTTGAGCTGCGAGGCCAGCTTCTTGTATGTCTCGAGCAGCTCCTCGTGGGTCGGGGCGTTGACCAGCAGCGTTGCGTGGGCCTCCCAGTCTTGCTCCAGCATCTCGCCCATGGGATCGACGATCTTGACGCCGTTGTCGGGAGCCGGGTTGTGGCTGGCGGTGATCATAACACCAATGGCCTGGCCGTTGAGCTTGCGGCTTCGCAGGCCGGCGATCAGACCGACGCGGAACGAGACGCCGGGCAGCAGATCGGCCTTCATGCGGAAGCCAGCGGTGCCATATTTGTAGACGTGACCCTCGACGATGGGGTGCTTGGCGGAAGCCTCGAGGAACTTGGCGTCATCCATGGCGAAGAGATGCTGTGGGTTGTGTCGAGAGACGTTGGATGGAGGTACGGCGATGTCGGGTCAGGCACAGGCACAGGCACAGACCGAAGCTGCGTTGGGTGGTGGTGGAAGGAGATGGAAGGGATGGAGGGGGAAGGCGGAGAGCGGGAGGAAGAGATGAGACTTGGAGAGGAGGAGGGAAGGCGAGAGGTACGGAATACAACGATATAAGAGAAGAAGAAGAAGAAAAAAAAGGGTCAAGGGTCTGGGGCGGAGAAAGGAGAGGGAAAAAAAAAGGAGGAGGAGGATCGGAACAATGGCAGCTCAGCGAAGGCGGTGCGAGGGCTTAGAGGCACTGCTGTCAGTGGACGACAGAGAGGCCTTTCTTTTCGACGTCGCGGGTGGAGTCAGCCACCTACATGTACCTTACCTCTACTTTCCTACCAGAGGTACCTACCTAGTAAGTAGTAGTGCTAAGGTAGTAGGCGGCAGAGCGGCTCCCGTGGTCCAGAGGCTTGGATCCAGTCCTTGTTTGGCCGCCGACTTGGACCGGATTGTGCTGGATTTGCTGCATTGATTCTAGTTGCCGGTCGTCAACGCAAACTCAATTGCGGTGATTCACTCAATCCGGTGCCTTGTGCTCGATCCAGGGACTGCCGGATCGCTACACGGGCTCGGCTACTCCCAGCGAGGCTGCGGTAGAGCACTGGACTACTTATTACCTACCTGCGCTACCTAGGACCTAAGGACCTTTGATACATCCTAGGTGGGTAGGCAAAGTACATGTATTCACATCGCCTTCAGCTTCTTGTCTGGTGGTAGAAACCTGTAGCAGTATCCTAGGTACCTACCTACCTACCTCTAGGCATTATGCCGCAAGGCGCCGCTGTCTCGTGTTCATCTCGTCATCCCTCCCAGCCGTCACAATCAGCTCGGGGTCACGTTGCCCAACCTCTGCGCTGTCACTCTCGCCCGCGCGTACCAATCACTTGTGCTGCTGCCGAGACTCACAAGCACCGACTGCTCACCTCCTCTTCCAGATGGCTTCTCGTTACATAGCTACGTATCGTAAGGGGGGGGCCATACAGACGCAGACCCCGCGTTGCTGCAACGGTAACAGCTACCAGACGGCAAGGATCCATGTCACTGTAGGCGACACCCCCACTCGCAGTTGCACAGAGTGGGTGGTTAATATCGTATGAATTGACGCTGAAATGAGCTGAGCGCCGAGCATATTGATTGACAATGAAGCGCTTTGGCATGATTGATATCTGTTGATATGATTCATTACAACGTGGCTAGGTAGAGATAGGTAGATAGCTACCTAGGTAAGGTAGGTAATTCATTGGCAACCCCTCCTCAACGAATGGCTCACGCATCCGCAGCCCTTGAGCCGTGACATTGGCTGCCAAAATCGGACGAAACCCGCCCTCTGCAGCAGAATCAGCACCAACACCTTCACTATAAGCAGAGATCGACCACTGTTGAGCGGCATTAATGCCGACCTCCGCCTGCAAAAGAGGACAAGATGGCAGACCCAAAGGGAAAGGGGACAGACAAAAGTACTGGCCAGCGAGTACCTTGCCTGCCGATACGAAGCCATCTGGGACCACCGCAGCAGGTACCCCTGTCGCTCGCTGCTGCACGCCTGCTGCACAATGATGTAACAGCCCCCACGTGACCTCGCGCCTGCAACGAGCCTCTGGCTTCTGGCTTAACGCGTGCCTGTTCATTAATGTCGTGTATCAGCCAGGAACAACGAGACGCTTCATTCACCCCCAATCTTCGGGCTGCTACATTTGGCCTCCCGATAGCCTCTTCATCAGGCTACACTTCTTCTCTAGACGATCCAATGGCTCTTTGATATACGCTCCTCGATGGTACGCTTTTCGATGAGCAATGGACGACTCGGATTGTGCCAACCCCCAGTTCCTCGCCTGGGTCAAGGAGTGGCTGGACGTCGCCAGGGAACGCAACTCCAAAGGCATCACCGCATACAAAAATGCCTATGACTCCCTCAAAGCATGCCCCATTGCGTTTGAGCACCCAGCATCCCTTCAGCAGCTCAGGGGGTTCGGCCCCAAGCTCTGCGAGCGCCTCGAGGACAAACTCAAGGTTCACTGCCAACAGAATGGACTGCCGATGCCCCAACATCCTCGACTGCGAAGAGCTAACGACAGGACTTTGAACGAGCAAGCTGGAGATAACACAGCCTCAAGGCCCAAGAAAGCGAGGCAGCCCAAGGCCTACGTCCCTTCATTTCGTTCGGGAGCCTACGCCTTGATAGTGGGCCTCTCGGATCTCCCTGAGGATGCATCGTCTAGCTTGACCAAAGCAGAGCTCATCGAGGCCGCCCAGCCGCATTGTGACGCCTCGTTCACTGCACCTAGTGACCCCACAAAGTTTTATACCGCCTGGAGCTCGATGAAGACGCTGATGCAAAAGGAACTCGTCTACGAGAGAGGACGACCTCTGCGCCGATATGCCCTGACGGACGAGGGATGGGCCGTCGCAAAGCGGATCAAGGAGACTTCTCTGTGGCAGGGGGAAAATGGCGTCAATGAGCCATCTGAAACAAGACCAGGGCCGCAACCGTCAGCCGCAGTGGCAGTGGCGGATGAAGTCGTGATCCTGGATGAAGACGACCCCCCACCCATTATCGACGAGCCTTCGTTCTATCATAATGTTGTCTCGGACGGCCCTATTGTGTTAGAGGGTGATGATCTGCCAAGCTTCACGCCGATCAGGATCCCTCCTGGGTCTTTCACCGTCCAGTTGGTCCTCGACGTCCGAGAGGTTAGAGCGAAAACAGACCGTGATTACATGCAGGAGGAGCTGGTCAAGCAGGGGGTCAAGCCGATCATGCGGAGCTTGGAGCTTGGCGATGTCCAATGGGTTGCCAAATGCAACGATCCTACGCTGTTGGCGAGACACGGCGCCGAAGGAGACGAAATCGTGCTGGACTGGATCGTGGAGAGAAAACGCCTGGATGACTTGATCGGGAGTATCAAAGACGGCCGGTTCCACGAGCAAAAGTTTCGGCTCAACAGGTCTGGCGTGAGAAAGGTCATCTATCTCATTGAGGAAATCTCCATGGACACCGCCGCTTATCAGAGATATGAAGAAGCAGTGCAGTCAGCCATTGCGTCGACACAAGTGGTTAATGGCTACTTTGTAAAGCGAACACAAAAGATTGACGACACCATCAAGTATCTGGCGAGGCTCACTGCGATGCTCAAGCGCCGATACGAAAGCAAACACCTAAATGTCATCCCGACCAGGGTCATCACCGCACAGAATTACCAGCGCCTGCTTCAGCACCTCCGCGAAAGAGAGCCGTCAGTTGGATACCACGTTACTTATCCTGCTTTTGCGTCACTGGCGTCCAAATCAGAGACGATGACGCTCAGGGACGTCTTTCTCAAGATGCTCATGACCACCAAAGGGCTCACGGGAGAGCGAGCGCTCGAGATACAGCGCAAATGGAACACACCTTACGAATTTGTCAAGGCATTCCACGCCTGTGGCACGGGCGAACAAGGCACGAAGCGGAAGAGGGAGCTTGTAGCCAGTGAATTGAGCCACTTGGTTGGTCGAAGAAAGATCACCAAGCAGCTGAGTCACAAAATCGCCGAGGTCTGGGGCGACGCTTAGAGGCCGATTCCAACAATTTGTGAACCCGCTTCCAATTGTCTGAACATCTGTATGAAACAAAAATAGCTTTTGCCATCACCATACTATGGCTTTGCTCCCTGGCTCTTCGCAACGACACGCTCAACAATCTTCTCGAGGAGAGGAATGGAGGCAGCGGCTCCGTCACCACCCAGGATGCCGGCCAGGGACTTTTCAGCATACTTGGCCATCATGTCGACCTCAATGTTGACCGTGTCTCCCTTGCCCTTCTTCGCCATGACAACCCGCTCCTGGGAGTAGGTGATCAGCATGATTTCCCACCAGCCTTCATCATCGTTGACCTGGGTGACAGTCAAGCTGGTTCCGTCAATGGCGATGAATCCCTTGTACACGATGTAGCGCAGGAATTCGCGCTTCTTAGGCTGGAACCGGAAAGTAAGGGCGTTGCCATCTGGTATCACCGAGAGGATCTCGGCAGTTGTGTCGACGTGGCCCTGGACAAAGTGGCCGCCCATGCGAGTATCCGCGCGAACAGCCCGCTCCAGGTTGACTCTGCTCGACTCGACCAGCGTGCCGAGGTTGGTGATGCGCAGCGTCTCGGGGGCGACGCCAATGGTGAAGCTATCGTTGGTGAAGGAAGTCACCGTGAGGCAGCAGCCATTGACGGCGATGGAATCGCCCTCGTGGCAGTCTGCGAGGAGGTTGGACCCGGAGGGAATGGAGACTGTCATGACGGAGCTGCCGGTGGCGGCATCATTCTCCAGCCGGGAGATGACTGACACGTGTTAGTCCCTACTGTAGGTGAATTTCGTCTATAAACGCACCTCCGATTTCTTCGACGATTCCGGTGAACATGGTGAAGCTGTTGTGACGGTGACTGCTCGTGACTCGTACTATCAGCTTTCGGACTCTATCGAGGCGTCGAGGGTGAGAGCTCACTCACAGTGGATGACTATCCGACTTGACACTCGTTAATGAGCCGAACATGCATGGGTCGATAGGGTACGTGAAGAATAGGGGAACTGCAGACTCACTTATACGAGCCACGTGAGGGTTCAGCTATCAACCAAGCGATTGTGTTTTTTCTTTTCCTGAAGCTCCCAAGTTATGGACAAGTCAGAAATGAGGTTTAGCAGAAGACGCGCTCACCCGACGTCACAAGAGGACAGAGAATGGAATTACCATAAGTCGAGTCTTACCAATCTTTAGCCCGACAAGTCGATCTGATGCCAAAGCACGAGCCCCGCATTCGGTGGGCAAAGAAAGGCAAAAAAAAAAAGTCCAAGCTTATCGATAGCGGTCCCGCCAAAAATTCTCAAGTTTTCAATGTGAATCGAGACTCGATCTGATGCGACTGGCGCTGAGCTGCATCTCATATGAATTACTGACCTGACAAAATCTCTACAATCTCTCAACTTTTACTCACCTCACCTCTCGGCTCAAACACTCTGTTTTTACTCATCCAGACTATTGAATCGACGACGTCAACACAGATCAATCAACATGGCACCAGGTCGTGCCGGGGCCAAGAAGGATGCCCCCAACCTGAACAAGCTCATCGCCGATGCAGAGACGCAATATGAAGTCGGCAACCTAGACGAAGCCATTTCCCTGGCATCAAAAGCCCTGGAGCTCACCGGCGAAGGTGGCGATTTCGAACTGAAGGCCCTAAACCTGCTGGGCGTCTTGAGCGTTGAGGACGGCGAAGTCGAGGATGCGCGAGACTACTTCCTGCGCGCCGTCAAGCTGGACGAAGAGGGCACTCTGGACGAGAAGATTGGCGGCGGACCCGAAAAGTTCTTGTTCCTGGCCCAGCTGAGCGAAGAGGGCGGCCAGGACAGCGTGCAGTGGTTTGAGCGCGGCGCGGCGGCGCTGCGGAAACAGATCCAGAGGCTCAACGACGTCGCCAACCGGACGCCGGAGCAGCAGTCGGCGCTGGACGAGCTGCAGAGCAAGCTGGGGGGCGTGCTGTGCGCCGTGGCGGAGGTGTACATGACGGACCTGTCGTGGGAGGCGGACGCGGAGCAGCGGTGCGAGGCGCTCGTGACGGAGGCGATGCTCATCGCGCCCAACTTTGCCGAGACGTGGCAGACGGTGGCCAACGTGCGCATCTCGCAGCAGCGGCTGGACGAGGCGCGGGCGGCGCTGAAGCGGAGCCTGGAGCTGTGGCAGGATCTGCCGCCCGAGCACCCTTCCGTGCCCGAGTTCCCGACGAGGGTCAGCCTGGCGCGGTTGTTGATGGAGACGGAGATGGAGGAGCAGGCGCTGGGCGTGCTGGAGCGGCTGGTCACGGATGACGATTCCAGCGTCGAGGTGTGGTACCTGGGAGGCTGGTGCCTGTATGTTGCGGGCGAGAAGCTGCGCGAGGCCAAGCCCCAGCAGAATGGCGAGGGAGAGGCTGCCGAGAAGGAGTGGAAGGCGACGTGGGGGTATGCGCGGAAGTGGCTTTCGCAGTCGCTGAAGCTGTATGAGATGCAGGAGTATGAGGACGAGAGGCTGGGCGAGCATGCGAGGGAGTTGCTGGAGAGCATCAACAAGGAGCTTGGGGAGCCGCCGGAGGGGGATGATGACGATGAGTGGTCTGGTATTAGCGATGATGAGGATGACGACGATGAGGAGCATGAGCATGGTTCGGATTGCGATCACGATCATGAGATGCATGATTAGTTCGTGGATGAGGGAAAGCAGAGTGATATGGACTTGATGGCGTTTGCTTGGGTGCGAAAAAAGAACGACTTTGGTTTTTTTTACACGAGATGTGGATAATGAGGTGTGGATGATGAACAGCTTTGACGAATATACTACCTAGACCCGACATTCTACCTCTTGGTTCTCTGGTATAAAGCTCGTGAAGAGTTCTCCCCGCATTGCAAGTCATAAAGCAGAAAGAAAAGCAGAATAACTCCATACATGTTATATACTCCAAAACAGGCCCCTCCCATCTATTCCACTCTCTACACAGCCTCAACCTTGAGCTGCTCAACCCCATCCGCAAGCCCCTCCTCCTCCTCCTCCTCCTCACCCTTACCCGCCAGGCCCCTCTCCCAGAGCTGTCTCCCGGTCAATCTGACCGGCTCCTTGATCCTAGCCTTCTTCATCTCCGCCAACCGCTCCTCCTCCTCGCGCAGCCTCTTCTCCTCCATCTCCTTGAGGAAGCCCTCGCGCCACTTCATAAACGTCTCAGGCGTAACGGGCGTGCCGTGGAATTTCTTATTCTCCTCCCGCTCGGCGGCGAGCTGCTCCTCCTCACGGGCCTTTTCCTCCGCGGCCTTGCGGTCCTGAATGAGCTGCTCTGCGGCTTCTTTCAAGGACGAGTACAGCGTGAAGACCATGGCCATGCCGAGGTTCTCGGTGATTGTGTCGGCGAGGTCGGCGAGCAGCTTGTCGCGGTCGTCGCTGACGTTGAAGTGCGGGTGCGGCGGGCTGGATGGGGAAGAGAGGATGTCGAGGTGTGGTGCTGCGTCGGGGTAGTCGTCTGGGTAGCGGACGGAGAGGAGGAAGTGCGGCGGTTCGGCGGCGGCGTCTTCTTCGCCGGGGATGTCGAGGGTGACTTTTATCCTGAATTCCGTCTCGGAGATGTCTGTTGTTTTACGCCATGATGATTAACGACTTGAATTGAAGGGGAAAAGGGGGAGAGGAAGGGGAGATATTGTGCTTCTGGTGATGGGTCTGTTCGTCGTCTGGCCGCGAGATGTCGAGGAGGGGAAATGTGTAGTATACCTGTGATTTCGTCGGGAAAGATGGATTCGAGCACTTCGCGCTCTTCGACCTGCTCTTCGCGACCCATGGCGGCGGTTTGGGTTCTGTTGCGCTTCTGGGCTTTCTATAGTCTTTTTTTGGGTTTGTATGTGATGTTGTTTGAATTGTCGATGATGGAGCTTTTCTGGTGGTTCAGTTTTAGGTGGGGTTGTATTAGAGGGAAAGGCTGACAGTCGTATTTGGCGGGGTTCGTGGGGACTTCTCCGTTGACAAGGCGGAACTCAATTGACGATTCAAGTGTCAATTGCGATCAAATTCATGGTTGAATCAGAACTTCAATTCTGATTATGAAACGCGTTGTTGGATTCAGAGCATGGAAACATCAATAGCGTCAGTTCCGGGCAAGTCAGATCTGGGTATGGGCATCGATTCGTCAGGAATTACGGCCATTATGCAAGCGCGCTTGATGCATCGTTATGAACCCAATGCAGCACCGCGTCGTATTACGGATTATACAGCACAAAAATGCATCGATCATCTTCTTCAGCACCGATTCTCATGTCTCGAAGCGAGAAGGATCGGCACTTCGCGTCGCTATCGAGTGACCGGGGGGCTGGCTATGGGATGCTCGGTGAGAAAGAAAGTTGACAGGTCGGCAAGAATAAAGGGGCACAAGCCATAGGACACGAGTATCGAGGTCTCATCATCATCGCAGCATCGTCGAGCCGAGACATTACGGAAGATGCTGTTCTCTCTTGTTTCTGAAGAAGCGAATAGCAAGGTGCCGTGTTATCGCAGATGGCTCAATGGCAACATTTCGCCCTGCTTCAAGCACAGCGGCACATAGAAATAAAGGGAGGCCCGGGTAAGTACCTAGGTAATTACGGTACACAACCGTCGCCCATCAAATCCTCCTGATGCCGCAAAGAATCATGTCGCCGTCCAGGTGTTTGATGGCGACATCCGGGCCGTCGGATCCATTGGGTGAGTAACTGTTTAGTGGTGACGTTTTTTTTTCTCGTGCGACAGAAATGCCACGTCGTTGTTGAGGGCTATATATAGGCTGCCCATGTGTTTTTGTGAAGGTCGTTGGCATCCTTGGCTGAGACAGGCGTCTCTCTCTTTGTTCGGGTGGCCGTGACCGCTTCTCTGCGTCGAGCCGATAAGCTCCGATTGCCGATTGCGGGATTCCATCAGCTGGCTTCGGTCTGCTCTTTTGGGTCTTCAGTGCCAGGCTGGACATCTCATGTTATTACCTACGGCCTTTGAAGCTTGACGTACTGTCGCACAGGAGCCGCAGGAAGCTGCGCATACGTTTTCTTTGTTATTGGCCATCAAGGTAAGCCATCGTCCTACCATGACGCACTCCCTTGGTCGCTCCCAAGTCAGATCATATCATTCGAGACACCTTCAACTGCAAGCCATCGCCATCAGGAGAGGCCAGAAGGGTCTTGAGGGGTGTGGCTGAAGAGATGACAGTGGACGGCACTACCTACTAGCAGCTGAGCGCCGTGACAAACTAGCAGTTGAATTCATCGTGCACCACCAACATGAAGACGAAGCACCCTTGAAACTGCATGTGGTGGATTGACAGCCAACGTTGGCAGCCCAGTACGGACACTGTCTACATGCCATCGCACCCGTATTAGAGGGTTAGGTAAGATGGGTGCCGCCAAAAAGGTACCGGTAAGCCAGCAAGCAAGCAAGCAAGTACCCAATCCACCCCAAATGGAGATGGGCAGCACTTTTGTGTGAGAACAGGGTCTCGTGCAATTACGGACCAGTCCTCCGTAATATTACGACGGCGCCGTTGAGATTTCGAATCGGCCTCCGCGTATGTACCGTATGTATGTATGATCCGTAACAGCAGCAAAACTCCGTAACACGACAGACGCAGTTGTGCAAGTCCAAGGTCGGGTGCTTTATCCGATGCGACGCAGCTCAGGGCGATAATACTAGCAGCCCTGGAGGAATAGAGAGGCCCGTACAGCAGACCGCCAGCCCGTACCATGCATGCACATGTTGCAGCTGGAAGCCCTCGCAATTCCCATGTGATTTGCTTACGTCTGAAGAAAAAATCGTCTTCGGCAAGCCCTGCTTGAGATGACACCGATCCATTCCATCCTGTCCTCAGCATCGGCTGCAAGGTCCGGTGTGTTGTACTGGCCTCGTACTGCCCTCCCCTGTCGCTCACTAAGGTACGTGCGAGTGTCTATGTACCTCGACAGGCACCGGCCCTGCTTAACGGTACCTCTGCATCCCTGACGCTTTTCTCAGAAACGGATGGAATCCCAGCAACAAGAAAAGCGGCGAATACTACTCGTCAAGAGAACGGCAAAGAAGAAAGAGAAGCAAGGCCCTGCCCGCCCAATAATGGGCTCCAGCTGGCCCTGCTGGCGTGCCTTGATTATGCAAGCCCGCATGCGAGATAGCGTCCCTGCGATGCGGCGCTGATGCAACCTGCAACGCTGCACCTCGCCAGCAGGGGCCGCCTAGTGGCTCCCTCATGGGCTTTACAGTACTTGTACCTAGTGGTCAAGTTGGAGCGGCGGGCTCTTGTGGTGGCCCGGCCGCCCACTGTGGGCACCTGGACGCAGCGCCATAGGCCCCGTAACCCGCGAGGACTTGAGGGTCCAGGTCGGGTCCCGTACATGTAGGTAGGTTGCTGTTCCAAGGCATGCAGCTTGTAAGGGACCCCTGCGGTTGAGCTGTGCAGCCTCGCGCAATCGCACGATTCGAGCTGCTCGGAGGCTTCCAGCGCGTCTGCCTGTGTCGTGTCTTTTTCTGCAGCTGCAGCTGCAGCTGCGGCCTGCTTGCGGTCGCCCTTGTAGCGCGTCTCAGTAATAAGGTAAGGTACCTGAAGGGGGTGGACAGGCCAAGGAGTACCTCCTACCAAACCTCCTAAGCTGTGCCTCCAAGCATCCTACCTAAGTACCTCTGATAGCAATTGAAGGCAGCCAGCCGTTCTTTGTGCTTATCGCTGCTGCTTGCAGAGCTGCCGCCAAAGAACCTGGGCTGGAAAAGAAAATCCAACCAAAGAGGCCCCCACCGCCCAGAGGCTCACCGGCCACATTTAATTTCGCACGAGTTCAACACTAGCAGCCTTGGACCTCTTTTCGCACCTCGAGACCGACTAACCTTTCTCATACTGTCCTCGCCGGTTCTTCCATCCCGGGCTGTGGCGACCCTTGAGCTTCCTCCCGTCGTCATCGTCGTTCCCGTCTTGCCCTTCTGTCACCTCTGTTTCTTCCGTCATTGCTTCTTCAATCCACCCTCGTCATCCCTCTTCTCTTACCTACCTATCTAGATCCTCTCTCCTCGAGACCGCGCCGACGAACCTCATCTACGTCTCCAACCTCTACCAATCGCAACCATGGGTAGCTACACGTTCAAGTGGTGAGTTTTGGCCGTCGAAGCTCCTGCGCCGCAAAAGGCCAAACCCCCCCGTCGGTGGAAAAAAAAATCGGGTGCTCGCGCCCGCCACGAGCTTTGCGAGACCACGAGGACACAAAAGAACCTCCACCGGCTTGGGCGCGGAAGAAAGAAAAAAAAAAATTGAATCCATACCATTGCGAGCATTGGGAAAGCAGATTAGCCCAAGGTACGGACGGAAGCTGACGTTGGGATCCTTTTCTTTCTAGGGAGCATCCCGCCGAAGAAGTGTTCGTGACGGGCACCTTCGACAACTGGACAAAGAGCGAGCAGCTGGTCAAGGTCGGCGATGTCTTCCAGAAGACGGTGCCGCTCAAGGATGCCTCGCAGAAGATTTACTTCAAGGTAGGTCGAGAGCTTGTTATCGCGCTGCAGCCGTGCTGCGGCCGCCTCTTTCGTTGACATTCATTCATTCATTCGTCCGTTCGTTCGGTCCTTTGCTGTGCGATTCTTCCCCCTCCACTCCCTTGACACACGCCATTGGCCGTCATCGCCTGCTGTTGTATTGTGCGACCGTCGAGCCTATCTCTGCTCCAGCCTCAATGCGCCGTCCAGCCCATCATTTGCCTCGATCCACTAGAGGCCAGTGCCTCTTCCCATGCCACGGTTCACCATGCAGCAGAGCATCAAGCGCCCGCCCAATCACGCTGCGTCATCTCCCGTCTTCGGTCGCAATCCTGCGAAATGCAACGCCATCCATCCATTGCGCAAACCGTCCGAGGCGGATCGGCGAGGCAGAGCTCGGCTGAGTCAGATCCGCCTCCAGTCCCTTCCTGGGCCAACGGACGGGCATCCATCTCGTCGCCGGACTGGCTCTGCTTTGCGTCGTCGCCTCTCGCGCAAAGCTGTCAAAACAAACCCCCCCACGGCGCTTCCTGCGACTATCGTCTGGACCGGGGGCTGTGACGCAACGCAGCGCAGTGCGACGCATTCGCGCCGGCTGGCCGCGGGGCTGGAATGTTGGTGCTGATAGCAGCCAGCGCTGGTCATCCGACTCACCACACCTCAGCCTTTTCCCCCCTTTGCCTGCTAGCGCATCGCAACCCCGACTCCCCGATCATGACCACCACGGCTTGGTGTAGCGGTGAGAACCGAGAGGAAGCTTGCGCCACGGCCGCCAGAGGTTTGGTGATCTGCCCGCTGCCAACGTCCGCCGCTGGTCCAAGGGGACTTAATCTACTTAATTCGACCTACCCAATCCATCTCGACCATGATTCCCACTTAATTGGGGGATTCGGCCATGGCCCCTTGTCCGCAAGCCAGACCAGCCCCCGCACCGGCCTGGCCAACCCCCTTCCAAGGCCGTTGTCGTGCATATATCACGTCACACGCACCTGGATAGTGGATTCAGCCTGTTACGCACTGCATCATAGTACATATATATTGCGATCCTCTCCAGCGAGGGGTCGCTTGTTTGTTTTATCTGCCAAAATAAATCGCTTTGCTGACTCTTTTGCGTTCTCTGTTTCGCCGCATCTAGTACGTCGTCGACGGAAACTGGACAGTCAACGAATCTGCTCCCAAGGAAGCCGACCACGAGGGCAACATCAACAACTTCATCACGCCCGAGGACATCCTTCAGTCCGACCCCGCAGCTGCCTTGATCAACACCGTTACTCCTCAGTCCACCACCGCCGCAATGGCCTCTGAACAGCCCATTGACAAGCCCGAGGCCGTCGCCACCCCTTCTGACGTCCCCGGCGGCTTCCCCGTGACTCCCAGCGCTGAGCTGGACAAGCCCGTCGGCGTCAACCCTCTGCCCGCCGCTGCCGGCGCCGTCAACCCCATCAAGCTCGAGCCTGGCGAAAAGGTCCCCGACGTTGGCATTGAGAGCACCAACGAGCACGTCAAGCTGGACAAGGAGTCGTATGAAAAGAGCGACGCCCTCCCCGGTGTTGACGCCGCCGACCTGCCACCCATCACCAGCAACCTGATTCCCGAATCCAGCCTTCCCGTCACTGCCGCCGGAGACGTCAACATCAACACTGTTGGCTCCGGCGCCACGACCCTCGGTCTGGCTGCCCAGGTCCCGCTCGAGGCCAAGGTCCCCGATGCCACCAAGGTCCCCGAAGTCGTCAAGGAGAGCCAAGAAAAGGCCCACGCCGAGCCCGAGGCCTCAGCCGTCCCCGAAGAAGTCGCCGACAAGGCCAAGGTCGAGGAGGAGCTCAAGGAAAAGGTCACCGAAGCTCCCGCCACCTCTGAGGGCACCGCCGGCGTCGGCACCGAGAAGTCGGAGTCGGAGACGGACCCCGCCAGCGCCATTGCTGCCGCTGCCGCCACGACTGGCGCTGCCGTTGTTGCTGCCGTCGTCGCCGCCAAGGAGAACCTTGTCGAGACCGCCGCGCCCGTCGCCAACGATGCTGCTGCGGCTGCTTCTGCCGCCGCCAACGACGCCGTTGCCGCTGCTGCTGAGGCCGCCAGGCAGAACCTTCCCGACTCCGTCAAGGAGAAGCTGCCCGAGCCCCTCCAGGAGGTCCTGGCTCAGCAGGAGACCGCCGCCAAGGAGGAGACTCGCGAAGAGGTTTCTCCCGAGGTCCCCGCCGAGGTCAAGGAGTCCATTACCGAGGCCGGCAAGAGCCCCGAGGCTGCCGCCAACACTGTCGCCGTCGAGGAGAAGAAGGAGGTTGAGGCTGAATTGCTGAAGGAGGTCAAGCCCGTCCCACCTGTCGACGAGACCAAGACCGAAGAGGCCAAGTTCGAAGAGGCCAAGCCGGTCGAGGAGGCCAAGCCTGCCACAGAGGTGCCCGTCACTTCGGCCACCATTACGGATGTGCAGGCAATCGACAGCCCTGTGACCGAGGTCAGCAACGTCCAGGTCAGCAAGACTGAGGTTCCCGTCGAGGATCTCGCCAAGGTTGCCCCCGCCATTGAGGCGCCCAAGGCATCCGAGGTGCCCAAGGTTGAGGAGCCCCCGACCGAGGTGGCCAAGGTCGAGGCCCCCGCTGCCGAAGTCACTGTTCCCGCCCCCATCGACACGACGGTTGCTTCGGAAGCCCCCAAGACCGACGGCGCCGCCGTCGACACCCCCGTCACCGAGACCGACAAGACCGAGGTGCCCCCTACCGATGCGGCCGCTGAGCCCGCCAAGGCCGACGCTGCCAACGGCGCCAACGGCGCTCACTCCGATAAGGGCTCTGAGAAGAAGAAGAACCGCTTCAGCGCCTTCTTCAGCCGTTTCACGCACAAGCACAAGCACACAGACAAGAACTAGGAGTCGTGGTGGTGACAGGATAGAACGTCATCGTGTCGAAAACGCCTGGTTTTACGTTGAACAGAGTGTCGGTTTATTTTTTTTCTCTTGGGCTGCTGGAGTGGCTTTGTTTATATGTCTATGATTCCCCACTTTCGCAGAGAAGTGTGACTTGGGTCGAACAAACGTCGGATACCTGGATCACCATTTCATATACCTAAATTCATTCCGTTTTTTACTTGTTTCTATCTAGCTATCCCGACTTGTTGTCTTCTTCCATTCTTGTCTTGACATGTACCCTGACTTCTTCACCTGAGCTATATGTTGTCTTTCGTGGGTGTGTGTGTGCTGCATGTGCAATATTCGTCTTTATGCCCGTCTCTCTGCATGGGTATCTGGAGGAAATGGGCTTGCGAAAACCATCCCTTCGTCTGGTAGCATGATGTTTGGTATGGAACCTCCCTACCTAGTCTGTTTGTTCCGGAATGATGCCTTTCATGTAGCTACAGTTTGCCCACTTAATAATTGTCGTTACTTTAATAATTTACAGTCCCATACTACTGGAATCTCTCTTTGCAGCTTCTCACAGATTGACAGTGCTGGCAGCCGGACCAGATTCTGGAGGAGTAGGAACCCGGCTTTCTTCTGCCTGCGGGGGGTGGCTGGGTGCATCGCTGCATCTTGCTGTGACTCACTGGCCGGGATATTGCCCGCATCTACAGAGTGTGCATGCAGGCTGTCAGGATGATGGCAAGAGATAGATACTATATATGCAGCGTTGATTTGCTTGGTATTGCCTACATGAATTGCATACGCCAATGCTTGATGCAGTGCATTGCTTAGTAGATGTTCAAGCAGTGGCCATTGATTTGACAGCATCTCCCCGTCATTCCCGAGTCGTTCGTTGTACACTCACACAGTTCTTCAGTCACATGCAAAATCACGTGCATCCGCGGAGCTTGTTCCTGTCAGGCGTCATTAGAGACTCCCGTGCCTTTTGCCCCGCCGCTGACTCGCCCATTTCCAAGTACGTCCCGCTAGCAGCCAGCATCTTGGACTTTCTTGTATTACTTCCTGCATCCTCCAACTGCCGGGGCCAACCGGGTCCCTCTTGGAGAAGCTTCCATCAACCCGTCGTCTCTTGTTCCTCTTGTTCCCCTTCTTTGCCTCCATCGCTTTTCTTTGTCTCGCTTCATTGCTTCATCGTCTTCTTCCGAAGCTTCTCGCCCCACGATTACCAAGCCGTGACGGCGAGCCGGGGCTTCGAGTGACGTGCCGATCGTGGGCATGCTGGACTTTGCGCCACCCGCTTCCGACGACGTGGGCGGCTGAGCAGTCGACCAGCAATTTTCCAATCAGCCAACCTACAGTCCCATCAGCCGCCATCTCGGGCATCGCATCATGAACCCTTCGAACCCGAGCGCGGGCAAGTCCCTTCAAATCCAGTCCAGCTACCCCGTGCCCGCCCAGCCGGCGCCGGCGACACCGGCCTTCGAGACGGCTCGCCGCGCAAACCCGGCACCCGCAGCCTCGCAGCCGCAGCCCACGCCCCGGAAGGGACAGAGCTCGCGGAGGCAGCATCGGACGCAGCGCCGGCCCAGCATGAACGAGAGGTTGGTCGACGAGTACGACGCCATGGCGGAGATCAGGGCGCTGAGGAACCCGACGAGTCGGCGTGGGCAGACGTCCATCACGCATCTGCTGAATTACTCAGCGCCGCTGCACCACCACCACGACATCGGCCACCACCATCATCACCACTCGAACCCCAGGTCCTATCGGCGAAATCCAACCTGGGGTCCCGGGTCAGGCTATCACGCCGTCGACAAGTCCCGCTACGTCCACGCCAACTATCGCTTCGTCGTCTCTCCCGACGAAGACTACTCCAAGCAAGGTGCGGATGCCGATCTCTTCCTCGACTGGTCCAATGTCATGCAGGTCATTGCGTCGTCGGAATCGCAGGCTTCGTCGTGCCCAATATGCTTGTCGGAGCCGGTCGCCCCCCGGATGGCAAAGTGCGGACACATCTTCTGCCTGACGTGCCTGCTTCGCTTCATGAACTCGGCGCTGAGCGAGGACGAGGCGAAACCGGGCAAGGCCGCCAAGTTTAGGAAGTGCCCCATCTGCGAAGACAACATCTATCTCCCCGACGTGCGGCCTGTGCGCTTCTACGCTGGACAGGAGAGCCCTCTCCCCCGGGTTGGCGATGACGTTGTCTTGAGGCTCATGGCGCGGAACGCAGGCTCAACTCTTGCCCTTCCGCGCGCGAGCGGAGCCGAGGTGCTCAACTCGGGAGACAGCGTACCGTGGCACTTTGCCGCCAACGTTCTGGACTACGCTCGTGTCATGAAGGGCACGAGAGAGTACATGGCCGGTCAGTTTGACGAAGAGATTGCGGCGATGCTACAGCAGGCTGCGGAAGACGAAGCCTTGTTTGGGCAGGACGGCGAGTGGACGCAAAAGGCCGTCAATGCGGTCAATGCCGCCAAGGAGAAGCTCCTTACTCTTGGCGGCGCCGATGAAGCCAGTACGGGCTCCTTGCCCAGCTCTGCGAAGCAGTCGTCCGAGTCCGACTTTTACTTTTACAGCGCTTTGCCACACTTGTATCTTTCGCCCCTAGACATTCGGATTCTGAAGACGCAATTTGGATCCTTCTCAGCCTTTCCATCGACCCTGCTTCCCAGGGTCGAGCACATCTCCACCGGCCACGTTGTCGATGACACACTGCGGAGACGGGCAAAATATCTGGGCCACCTTCCTCATGGCTGCGTCATCAGCTTTCTGGAGTGCGACTGGACAGACATTGTCCCTGCTGAGACGCTGGAGACGTTTGCCTCTGATATCGAGCGGAGGCGGAGTCGCAACCGGGATAAGGCTGCACAGGAAGAGCGAGAGCGCCTCCAGTCCGAAAGGATAGAGGCGGCTGCCCTGCGGAACCTGACGGGATCCCGCCGGCCTCATTCTCCGCCCATCCAGGACGACTCGCCCCCTTTCGTGGACATGTCAGAATTCCAGCCCCTGGCGGCGCCGTCGGGTACGACACCTCCCGAGGCACGGTTGGGATTCTCCACGCTAGCCTCCATGTCGACGAGTCCTTCCGCACAGAGGACTGTCTGGGGCACGCCAGCTGTGTCAACGGCTCCTGGGATGGAAGATATACCAGCGCCCAGCAATGCTGATGACGGATGGCTCAGGGACGAAGATGTCTTTATGAGCCCTAGCGAGCTCGCCAGGCAAATGGAAGCATTGAATGCCATGGATAAAGAAGATAACGGGCAGAGCAGCAACACTCGAGGTGGTGGAGGAGGAGGAGGCGGCGGCGGCAAGAAGAAGAAGAAGCAGAAGATTACACTGATGAGCACTGGTGGGCGGCGTGGCCTGTGAAGAGGGAACTCGAATTCACTTTCAAGATAGACGATGATGATGTGTGATATGTGTCCTACGGAGTTTATATGTTTAATCCAAGCCAGAATCATTTACCGGGCCGTACAAGGAGGCTCATCGCATGCATAGTCATACCTTGTATGTACCTAAGTAGCCAAGAATGGCATCGTCACAAGGAGGCGGGTGTCTTTTCGGACATTTCTCCGACACGTCAGCGCTTTTTCTTAATGATACAACGTCAATTTCATGCAAGCTGCCCATTGTCTGACCAATATCTGCACACAGATAGAGCTTGGGATCCCATTAGCCAGAGGCTGTGGACGTCGATGCATCGTCAATCTTCGTTGAGAGTCGACGGCGGTTGGTTGATGGCTAGCACTGGAATTACAGCGGCTCAAGGCCTGAAGCTGGAGCAGTGGCGGGACCAGTTGTTGTGGGGTGATTAGCTCACTACTACTTTTTTATCGGACTTCCAATCGATAGCCTAAAATTTTTTCCACTGCGGCTGTTATCGCTCAAGCTTCTCCAATCAAGGAAAAAAAAAATCGAGTAGAAGAGGATAACATCGATCCTCCTACGGATAACAATCAGAAAAGAAGAGCATGGCGGCAGACACGTCGCCATCTCTGACGAACTCGTCGCATACAATGACTGCACAACCACTCGTATCGGTACCCCCAATGTCCTCCGCAAACGCCAATGGCGCGAACGACATCAACAACAAGTCGCTGCTGAGCCTGCTCGAGAGCCTGCACCCCGACAAGAGGCACGTCTTCCTGCAGCCGGACGAGTCCCTCCCCACGAGCTCGCTCAATGTGGTCAAGGAGACGCTGGAGGGATTCGCGGCCGAGGTTGGCGAGGAGCAGGAGGCGAGGCTGAAGGAGAGCCGGAAGCGCAAGAGGGAAAGCGGACTGGGAGGGAGGAGGGGTGAGATTGAGGTGTTGAAGCTGAGGAAGGTGTACGTGGATGGGTTCGAGACGGAGCAGGTGTGGCAGCAGGCGAGGAGGATCATTACGAGCGTTTTGAAGTTTTCGGGGGGCGTGTTGGATGAGTTGGAGGAGAAGGGGGAGGTTGTTGCTGGGGAGAAGGGCGATGATGGCCTTGGTGATGCTGAGGAGGTTGATGCTGAGGAACAAGATGAAGACGAGGATGAAGATGAGCTCGATGGCGAATTGGATGAGGATGAGCTGGAGGATGACGAGCTCGATGGCGAAGACGAAGAAGACATTGAGGCACTGGAGAATGGCCTCGAAGAGGACCTCAGTGGACTTGACGAAGACGAGGAAGAGGAAGAAGACGAAGATGAAGAGGAGCAACAAGGCCAAGAATACGTCGAAGACCCCGACGGCCTCAACGACGGCTTCTTCAACATTGACGAGTTCAACCGGCAATCGCAGTACTTTGAAGAGCAAGACGCAAGAGGCGACCCCAACACCGACCGAGCCAGCGACGACGAAGAAATCGACTGGGATGCAGACCCAATGACACAATCCACCGCTGGCTCCAAAATGGCCGGCCGCAATGGCAAGTCACAAGACGGCGCAAAAGACCAGCTAAAAGATGAAGACGAGGACGACGAAGAGGAGGACGGCCCAACTTTTGGCGACATGGCGCTTGACGCACCTGAAGGCGCGAGCGACGATGAATTTGACGGCGACGAGGAGGCTGCGGACGACGAAGGCCTGGACCTCAACGCAAACGGCATCTACTACAAGGACTTTTTTGCGCCGCCGCCCCGCAAGAGCAAAGGCGGCAAGCCCAAGAAGAGCGTCCACTTCAAGCCCGAGCAGCCCGCTCAAGAGGACGTCGACAGGGCCATGGCGGATGTGCGCCGAGATCTCTTCGACGACGAGTCGGACAACGACGACTCCGAAGATGCGCTGTCCGACGTCTCGGCGGGCGACCCCAAGTCCCGGCGATCCGCCCACGAGCGACGACAAGCCAAGCTGGCCGAGGAGATTCGCAAGCTGGAGGCGGCGTCGGTGGCGAAGCGCGAGTGGACGCTCTCCGGAGAAGCCGCCGCGGCCGACCGGCCCCTCAACTCCCTGCTGGAGGAGGACCTCGACTTTGAGCACGTGGGCAAGCCGGTGCCCGTCATCACGCCCGAGGTGACGGAGGGCATCGAGGACATGATCAAGCGGCGCATCCTGGCGCAGGAGTTTGACGAGGTGCTCCGGCGGCGGCCCGACGCAGAGGCGGTGCCGAGCGGGACGCGCCGCGGCATGGTCGAGCAGCTGGACGACAGCAAGCCGAGCAAGGGGCTGGCGGAGGTGTACGAGGAGGAGCACGTCAAGAAGGCCAACCCGGACGCCTACGTCAGCCAGTCGGACGAGAAGCTGCAGCGCGAGGAGCGCGAGATCGAGGCCCTGTGGAAGGACGTCTCGGCGCGCCTCGACGCCCTCAGCAGCTGGAACTACCGGCCCAAGCCCGCGGCGCCGAGCGTCTCCGTCGTCGCCGACGTGGCCGCCGTCGCCATGGAGGACGCCCAGCCGACGACGGCCTCGGCCATCTCCGGCGAGCAGAGCCGCATGGCGCCCCAGGAGGTGTACAAGGCCGGCGCGCAGAATGCCGCCCCCGGCGAGATTGTCACGAGCGCCGGCTTGCCCGTCGCGAGGCAGGAGATGTCGCGCGAGGACAAGGTGCGCAGACGGCGTCGCGCAAAGGAGCGCATCCGCAAGGCTGGCGCGGACGGTGCTGCTGCTTCTACTACTTCTGGCGCTGCTGGTGGTGCTGCAAAGAAGACGCTGTCTACAAAGGCCAAGATGCAGCGCGATACGATTGCAGAGCTGAAGAAGGGAGGCGTCAAGGTGATTAACCGCAAGGGCGAGATTACCGACGTCGAGGGCAAGAAGACCAAGGTTGCGGCCAAGGTTGTTTCCGGAGGCAGCTTTAAGCTGTAAGAGCTTTAGGGAGGGAGGTTTGCTGATGGGGGGGTGCTGGAGTGTGTATATATCTGGGATTGCATTTGTCCTGATCTTGCTTTGGGGTTTTATTTTTTTTTTTGGCTTCGTGTGGCTGTTGTAATCAATGGGTTGATTTGGCATGATACAAAAAAGTTCAAGATGGGAAGAGAGCACGCGTCATATAGAGGGAAGCTCACTTATTCCAATTACATGCGTATAATCTTCATTGTGAACTGAGATCACGCAGTAACCATCGCAAAGGGGTATTCGTTTGTTTATTTGTTCGTTTGTAGAGCTATTCTCATAGCAAGCTTTCTTTGCCCATCCCCCTTGTCCTTCCAGACGCCCTAAACTCCTCTCCTTTCTGTTTCCCCCCAAATTAAAAGGGGGGATGCGGGTTTTCAGATGGGCTCGGCCCAGCCCAGAGAAGAGAAAACAAAATTGCAAATACAGCTTCATCCGAGTCTGGTCCTCGAATGGTGGAAACCAGCAGAGTTGGAAATTGATCAAGCGCGCCGATAGATTACTTCTCCGCCTCCACAGTCTGCTGCTCCTCCTCGACCTTGGTCCTCTTCGTTTCCAGCTCGGTAGACTCGTCGTCGGCCTTGCGCTTACCATTGCCGTTGGCGGCTTCGGCGTCATCCACCTTGGCCTTCTTCTTGCGCACGAGGCCCGTCAGGTCCACGGCGTTCTTCGTGGCCTCTTCGACGCGCGCCTGCACGTCGGCAGCAGATTGGCCAAAGGCGGCGCCGAGGATGCCGCCCAGGGGGTTGGCGCCATCGCCGAGGAGGTCGCTTGCGCTGAGGGGGTCCTTGCGAAGGTCGACGAGCTGCGAAGTGTTAGTGAGGGCAGAGATGGAGAGGCAGAGTGATATAAGAATCGAGAAATTTAAGGTCACGTTCGCCAGGTCACATACCCTTTGCTCCAAGTCTACTATGACTTCCTTCATCTCCTCGACAGCCTTGCGCGACAGCTCGTTGTCCTCTGGCGACGCTGAGCTAGCGATATCAACCTCAATTGCCTGCATCTTCAGCTTGAAGCTCTTGATGGCAAGCTCCATCTCCTTGATCGCCTCGTCGCGCAGGCCCTGGTCAATCTCTTCGCGCTTGGTGTTCTTGCCCTCGTCGTCGGCAGCGGTGACGGAGGCAAACTCGAGAGCGAGGGAGAGCTTGTAGTGCGCCTCGGCAATGATTTCGGACTCTTCGGGGTACAGCTCCATCTTGTAGTTCAGAGATGTGCGGCCATCCTCAATGGCATTGGGGTATCTGCGCACGAGGGCAAGTCAGCCGCGTCGCGTCTCGTTTTTTTTGGGGGGAGGACATCAAAATCTGCAAGGCATACCGCTCATTCTCAAGGGAGATTTCGGCAAGACAGTCGTGGGTCTCGGCGAGGCGCTCTTTGATGTGTCTGACGGCTGGAGAGTCTTCCTTGGCGGCTTCCTTGCCCTTGCCCTTGTCGCCGTCGCTTTGCGCTTCCTCCTCCTGCAGCTTCTCCAGCTGCTTGAGGTAGCAGACGCGAGCGAGGTCGAGAATCTCAAAGGCAGTGGCAAGGTCGTCGTCTTCTTCCTCGTCTTCGTCTCCCTCCTGGGCCTATTGGTTGAAACGATGGGTAATTAGACAGCGAACGCAAGCCTGGTCAAGCTGGCTGGCATATTACCCACCTCGTCTTCGTCAGACTCGTCAAAGTTCTCATCGCCCGTGAACTGGAAAAAGACCTTTTTTCCCTCGGGAATGTCGGCCTTGTCCTCGCTCTTCTTCTCCTTGCCCTCTCCAGATTGAGCAGCCTCGCCCTCCTGTGTTACCTGTTCCTCCTTGGCGGCCTTCTTCGACGAGGAGCCGTTCGCCTTCGTCTTCTTCTCGACGGGCGCAGAGCCGCCGAGGACGTCACTCTTGCTCTGGCCGACCTTGAACAAGCTGCGGCCGTAGTGGAAGAGGATCTCGGCGTTCTCGGGGGCCGTCTCGCCGTTGATTTCGGCTTGCAGGATGCTGGCTCGGGAGAAGATGTCGGCGGCGGCCTCGTACTTTTTCTGCGCGTAGAGCGCGGTGCCCTTTGCGCTCAGGTCGGCGAGGGTGACCTTTTTGGACTTGATGTCGTCGTCGACCTCGTCTTCGCCGGCTTCAGGAACTGGTACTGCTGCTGCTTCTTCTTCATCTTCTTCTTTATCTTTTTCTTCTCCATCTGCGTTTGCCTCTGCCTCTTCAGGAGCTGCGTCTTCAATGGTCTCTTCGGCAGCCGGCTTCTCCACAGCAGGCGCAGCCTCCCCCTCGAGTGGTCGCGTCTCGGCGATGGGTTCTGCCATTGCGAAGAGCTGCAGGCGACACGCGATTTGGTGATGAGTGTGTGCTGATGGCTGGGCAGAGGATGCTATAGAAAGGGCGAAGACGTGTGTCTTTCGTCCAATGGCAGATGGAGGAGCTCACCAGAGATGAAATTGATGATGCCGGGCTCGGGGAATTGAAATCAACACGAGGGAATGGAAAATGCAGAAGCAAAGGGAGAAGCAGCTCGTGAAGGCACAAACAGCTGATCTTTAGCAGCTCCGGAAGGCTTGCTGCAGCCGTGACGTGCGTCTGGGCTTTGGCGCGTCTGATTGGCTGAGAGGAGCCACTTGTGGGGCGGCAGTCAACACGTTGTGGCTGTGTGGGGCTTAGCTTATTTGATTATGTAACGTCATCAGCTGCGATTGACTTTTGCTTACCTACCCTACATTTCGAGAAAGACTACATGTGTCGAGATTACAATTTTGCCATTGCTCAGAGCTGGAACTTGTGGAATACAGACATATCCACTGTCTTGAGCACTCAAGTTCCGCCGAAAATGGTTGTGAGCTGCCGTCACGAAAGGCTCTCTCTGTCACTGAGTGTAGCGAATCAGGATAGTAGTCCAAGGCAACCAGCTAAAGATTCTGAAGCCATCTATAGCGCCGGCAGAATCAAGCCGATCAGCTTCACAGTCATCCTCAAGATTCAGGTTTAATGTCCGTTTAGCTCTGCGCCACCTCGGCTTCCATTGGTGTTCTTTGGCACCAAATGCAATCGGTCATCATCAAGCTGGCAACCGGCTCCCATGGAAGAAACCAATCGTTCCATATAAGAATGCGTGAGGTCCGTCATCTCATCTATCGTAGATCTGAATGACCGCACCACATTAGAGTCCAAAAGTGGTGTGCAAATTCCTTACCACAAGGTAGTATCGAATCTTTATAATCATACCTAACAACTCGTAGTTTGAGGCAGCAACTCCCGAAAATGTCATCTAACGAGGTAACAGTACACTATCTCCTTGCCCTTCTTTCCTTGAGCAACTATACCTCCATTGCATCATCCGTCAGCCGAGCTTTGAAACTCATCCCTTCTACTGTACAGCAAGAACGTTACGGTCAAATGTGTTGGCTCGCCATCCCTGTCATCGACATTGAGCGGGCCGTGGCCTTTTACTCGCAGATCTTTCCCTGGGACATCAGCCCCAACGGCGTCCCTCACCAGCGACCCGGCGTCAAAGAGCTGTATTTCTTCAACGGCGGCGATACGTTGCATGGCGCATTTTACGTGATGGAGGATGGATTCCACGTCATCAACCACTCGATAGACTTTCAAGACGGCCTGTCCGTCCATCCGAGTTTCAACGTTAGGAACTGCAAAGAGACCCTTGAGCTGGTTGAAAAACTCGGCGGCAAAACGCAACTGTACGTTCCGATATTCGTGTCCCTACAGCATGGAGCAAGGAGGGTGACCGAGAAGAAAGAGGCTATTCCGATCTGACAGCTGTTTAGTCACAAATCTGACCTTGGCGGCAACATGGGCCATTATGCCCGCTTCATCGATACCGAGGACAACATGATTGGCATCTGGTCCAAAATCTGACCTGACCTAAAACAGCTGCAGTTCGTGCAAGCAGCATAGTGTCTACAGGTAGTGAAGTTGTTGCTATTATTACCTACACGTATATACCGCTGAGCAAGGTGACTTGTTTGATAAGACACAGCATGATATCGATTTCGCCATTTCGACTCATTCTGATTCGAGGCATATTAGTTTGATGTCGTTGTACTCTTGCGATTTTCCCGTGGCGGAATTTCTGAGCATCATGTTGGACAGTCTGCTCAATCGTGTTTCTTCTCCCATGACACCAGACCTGGGCATTTTAGGGCCAGCTGAAGCAGGGGCATTTGCGATGATTGGAGGCAGATCTCACGTCAACTTCGTCGACGGCCGCTCTTGTGGAATGAATTTTCCAGCCCTGGCATTGCATACCATGTTGCTCTTGAGGAGGTCATCCGTTTCACCGGTGCTTGAGGATGATGATGAAGCATCGGCTCTATCGTGATGGTTCTGTACAGGGAAAGTTTTGACGTTGCCGATTTTAGCATCGACTGTTCAAGTTATCATACGTGGTTGCTTAGTGCCCGTTATTATACACGGCTTAACACTAGTCACGCTGTATGATGCTTACACAAATCTGTCTATGCTCATGATCGCGGCTCTTGGCCACATGGTGTTGAAGTCAAGACCCTTCAATGACACACGTGCATGTACGGAGCAGCTCACAGATAGTGTGCATGCCCCCTGCTGACAAAACAACAGGACATCTAGTTGTATTGCGTTTGATAGTGACGGGATCAAAGACTCATGCTCATTGGTTACCCGTTGAGCCCTGGCACCTCTCGGAGATATTTCGTGCAATCAGATCCTAGTCTGTCTATGTCGAAGCAACGCCGGTTGCCCATTCGTGGAATTACATGCTCACCCTTTGGCGGTGCTTTTGTTCGCCAAAACTTTCCAGAGATAACAAAGCACGTTTGCTACCAACAGGCTCAGCAAAAGCTGATTCTGACTGGATGCTACTGAGACACTTTCGAGTTGTTGTTGAGAATGGGTGAAACGCGGCATTACTTTGACTGATAGCAACTTACTACATGCAGATGGTATGTCTAGTTAGAAAGTGGGCAATAGTACGACGCTGCGTATTCTCTCAACGATCCTTCGCTCGGTCACTGGATCGATACCGGGGCGTTTTCTTCTATTCGGCGGTAAAGAGCCCTCCGCGGGGGTCAAGAACTTGAAACTCCGTGATAGCGTATAGCTATACGCTGGCGTGATGACCTAACCAACAACCGTCTTACTCTTTCTCCTTGCCGGGGGGAGACAGGAGGTTAAACCAAGCATCATTCGGGCAAAGACCATCCGCGTGCTCCGTTTCCCCCACAAGATCGGGAGCCGTTTCGGTCTTACTCATGCTAGTCGGGCTGCGGGGGTTTAGGGAGCTGCAAGGGAAAATGACTGGAGAGTGGTTTATCTCGAGACGAAATAAGAAGCTGTCCCCGCTGGAAGGATCAACTAGGTAGGTTTCTGCGACCTAGGAGTGCTGGTGTATAACAGAGCATCGGCTCCGAGAGATGAGACGTACGGATATGTACTTGAAGAGACTGAAGTTGCGTAGCCTGCTGACGATACGACAATCTGGCTTTCTGGGGACTGCTTGACAAGAGAGTTGGAGGAGGCCGGTGGGAGAATTACTACCTATCTACCAAAGTAGGTACTATATGTCATAAGATACGATACCAGCACCCCTATCAAAGACTATGGCGACATGACCTCGGCGTCTCTTGTGAATGCCCATTTGTCTCTCAGATTGGCAGAGTTGGCCGTGAAAGCAAAGACCAACGACAGGAGGCAACGGGGCTGGTTCCGGTACAAGTAAGGTATGTAAAATTCATTTGCCAGACAGAGACTAAAGATCAACCATCAATGCGCGCTAGCACTGTCTTTGGAGAAGAAATTGAGGTGCCCAGCTTCCAGGCCAGAAAGAGAGGCCCAGCCCGGCATGTCTTTTTCCGCTGCTAGTTGTGATAGGAAGGATTACGATTCTCCTGATGGAGCGCGAGCGGTTGCCCGCAAGGGGGGGCGCCAAACTGCGGGAAGAGAGAGTTTCTCTTGTTAGTCAGAGACGCCGTGCGGACTTCTTCCGTCAAGGTCCGGGCCTGGAGTAACAGCTCTCGAACAACAGATTGAAGAAGCAGAGTGAGCCAAAGGGGGGATCAAGAGCAGAGTGCCTACATGTCAAGTATGAGGAGTTGGTAGTAGTAGTCAAAGACCAGCGAGGCCTGATCATCACCATAGTAGAAGCATGTACATCAAGAAAGTGACCTGGAGCTCCTGTTCCTTCAGTCCAGAGCCCCTTCCCTTCAACTCATCGTTCCAAAAACCCCGGACAAGCCCCGGAGTTGTACTGCCCTGGTCCAGAGTACGCATCGCCGCCCGTCCAAATCTGACTCCAGACAGCGAGTGCGTATGACATTTTGAACACTCAAAGAGGCAGTTCCGTGTATCGTGTACTTTGGAGATGCAGAGTCCAACCTGGAAGGAAGGATTGATCATCGCCTGCTCTCATTGGGGGGTTAATCGTGCGTCGGCAGCAGTGCGGGGCGTCGGCTCGTGATTGGCGGAGAATTGTCGCTGCTCAATATGGCCGGCAAATAGGGAGAATTTGGAGCTGCAGAGGCCCTGCTGGAGGGGTGGGGCCAAGCTCAATCGACAGCAGGGCTGACTGGCCGGCTCCAGTGGGCTGTAGGGGACGTGCTGGACTACTAGTACCACCTAGTAGGTGCACTGGAGGGCAGCTACAGGTGCTGTGGCCAGCGGCGCAACAGCGCTAAGCTTTCCATCAGCGAGCTCCAGCGGCTCCCGCGCTGGGGCTTTGCAGGCCTCCCCTGGGCCACCCCAGCAGCTGCCCGACAACCCCACGGCTGCTTGGATCAGCGGCAACCGAAAGCTGGAGCCTGGTGTACTGTACCTCTGCCAACGCCCGCCGCCCGCTGCGCGCGCACGTACCAGCTACCTGTCCCCCCGCCAGACCAGCCAGCATCGCAGCTTGAAACCGAAGCCTCCACTGCGCTGCTGCACTGGACATGATCCTCCCGATACAAGTTTGCGCGCACTCGCAGCCGTCCAGCTTTTGGCCGTGTCGCGCATTGGCTGCCAGCCTCGCTCGCCATCCCGCCGCTGCCTTGCGAGTTACGAGCTGCCTCTGCCTCTGCCTCTGCCGCCTCTGCTTCTACTGCTGCTGCTGCTGCTGCTGCCGAATCTATTCGCGCGCATCTCCTCTCGCGGCGCCAAGCACCGCCAAGCGCACACCCTCAAGGCTACTAACCTCTGGGCCGCACCTTGTTCACCTTTTCAGATCGGCTCCTCCCTCTCCATCACCAGAGCCGACAGAAGCAAGCCTCACCTTCGTCGCCGTCTTTTCGCTCTGGGCCTTGCGCCACCTTTTCGCCCTCACCTACCTACTCACGATCGTCTTGGGTGTTGGGGTGCTCGGGAGAAGGGAGTGGCCATCTCGACTCAGGCATCTAAGGCCCGACGGTTGGGAATCTAGTCTGGCCCGAGCAAGAGCCGCCGCGGAAAAAGCAGAAAAGAGAGAAGGGGAGAGAGAGAGGCAGAAAGAGAAGAGGAGGAGGAGGAAAAAAAGGCAAAGACTGCCAACGTCGTCTGGAAGGGAACATGGTCCTGATCTGCTCTCGCCTTCAGTCTCGCGCCACCCTCCGTTGAGCCAAGATTCTGGATTGCTGGAACCGATTAGCATCACACCCAACCGATAGACGTCCATCGCCGCCTCGCATCTGCTTTTGGCCCTGCAAATCCCTCCACCAACAAACGACGAGGCCATACGATTTCGGGCCTCGCTTCTGACCTATAGGATCGATTAATCTAACGCCTCCGCTTTGCGTAGAAGCTTCGGTCAAGCAGGTGCCGGGACCTGCGTTGCCTTTCGGGCGAGCGACAAAGAAACGAAGGAAGCCCCTTGCCACTCTCGGCGCTTGTTCGCTAACAAAAGACATTCCTACGGCGTCCTCTTAAGGGCAGCGGGTTGCCGTTTGTGTCGCCGGCGGTAAAGCAGTATCCTGGCAGACTGGCCCTCTTGTCGCGCCGCTAACCTCTGTGTCGTGGCGTCTTCTAGAGTACAGTAGACTCGACAAACGTCTCGCTTCATCGACTGTATCTTGATTCCTCGTTGTCGAGACGATTCGGAAGTCATCCGGCGCCTCTGCCACTAACGGGCTGACGGGGAGCGACAGGAGCCGGAGAGTGCATAGACCGTCGTCTGTCGATAGTCCAGGCCGCCGCTCTGCATTGACTTGCGTCCCCTCCCTCCTCACTGCTACCTGCCCTAACCGGGCCTTCTCCACGGGGGGCTATACTTTGGGCTCGAGTTGTAGTAGCTGCGACGACATCTCTGCGAGTAGATCGCCGGGTACCTTATCTGACTCGGTTTTACCCGGTCTCGCGAAGTCGAGCTCGTCCTGCCACCGAGTCATAGCTGGAGTACAGTAGGAGGCCAACACGCCACCTCCGGAGCTGATCAGGATCCTTTCGCCTATCGCTGGCGCACCGGAGCCGCAAATTGTCGTATTCGAAGCGTTTGGGTCATCAATTTTCCGATTCCCCCTTGGCATGCAGCGCCGAGCTGGTGGAGGTGGTTACGAATCACAGAGCCAGCATTGTGTGTACCCAAGGGACGAGTCGCCTTTTTGCCGGAGCGACAGCCTGAACGATCAGTCATCTTCGGCCTTTTGAGCAAAAGTGTGTGGCCCGAGGGCAGTCTCATCTGAATCACTAATACGATGGCTGCTGTTCAGCAGCTGCTGGCGAGCCCGTCGCCCACTCCCGCACCTATATCGTCACAGCACATCAACAACGGTTCGGCCGCCGCCAACATGGAGGAGCCTGGCACCGCCGACCATGACCCGGTCGTGATTGACAGCGGGCTGATGAAGGGCGCGCCACAGCCGGGAGACTCTCGAATAGTGGTCATTGTCTACGGGCAGGGACAGGAGCATGTTGTATCCGTATTCGCCGAAGTACTGGGCAAGCCGGTTAAAATAAAGCGACACTTCAGAGACGTCGACCACGACGACGAGGGATTCGTGATTGGCCTTGCGCTCGACGAGGCCCAGCGGGACGTGGAGGACAGAGACCAACAGCTGCTCGTAGCCATCAATGCTCACTGCGTCGACCTAGGCATGCCTCCGGACCTGCACCTCTCCGCTCATTGCGACTATGAGTTCCTCTACACCGAAACCCCCTTCTTCAGGCGCGACCTCGCTCGATTCATCTCATTCACGCTGGGCCAGATCAGCCCGCACAGCCAGCTGATGGCCAAGCCAAGGACCTTTTTCATCTCCACCACGTTTCCCGACGTCCGGGCGGCTCTTCCGAACCTGGACATTCTCACCGTCGGAGCGGATGCGGTCGAGATCCGCGTCGACCTCCTCCGCGAACCCCGGGCCGACGGCACCTTTTCCGACATTCCGAGTCTGAGCTACGTCGGGCAGCAGGTGATGCTGCTGCGCCAGAGGACGGAGCTGCCCATCATCTTCACCACCAGATGCACGCAAGAGAATGGAAGATTTCCCATGGACAAGCCCGACTTGTACTATGAATATCTGTACCGCGCGATCCAGTGGGGGGTCGAATACATCGACGTCGAGCTGTGGCTGCCGGAACGCATTCGAAAGAAGCTATACGAGAAGAGAGGCAACTCGCGCATCATGTCCGCCTTTCACGACTTTTCGGGGACTTTCAAGTGGCCGTCACAGTACGCCGAAGACGTGTTTGCCAGGTCGAAGCAGTATGCCGACATTGTCAAGATGATTGCCATCATCAACGACCACAACGAGAACTTTGAGCTCGAGTACTTCCGCTCAAAGATACGGGCCCAGTACCCCGATGGGCCACCGCTGTCGGCCGTCAACATGGGCGAGATTGGCCAATTCTCGAGAACGCTCAACACGGTCTTTTCGCCCATCACCCATCCTCTCTTGCCCATCATTGCTGCTCCCGGCCAGATGAGCACGGCCGAGATCAACGCCGCTCTGGCACTCCTCGGCCAGCTCCCCAAGAAGTACTTTTACGGCATCAGCAGCGCCGCTGCTCGGACCATCGCGCCGCGGGCTCCCTTTTACGAAAAGTGCTTCAACGAGCTAGGCCTGCCGCATCAGTTTGCCGTCGTGGAGCGCCAGCACAACAACCCGGCGGGCATCCAAGCGTGGTGCAACCAGAAAGACTTTGGAGGCGCCTACCTCGACCCGGGCCTGTCCTACCAGACCATCATGAAGCACAACCCGTGGTTCTCGACGCTGCGAAACGGCCAGGGCCCGACACTGTCCGAGGCCGCTCAGGGAATCGGCATCATTGACACCATCGTTGTCAAGTCCGCATCGTCGTCATCGGCATCAGGCTCAGGAGGATCGACGTCGACGCCGCCATCGCAGTACGCCAGCGGCACTCTGCCACCGGGAGGCCAGCCGGGCCTTGCCCCCAACACATCGCTCATCTTTGACAATGCGAGCTGGAGGGGCATCTTGTCCACACTGACCCGTGACTTGGCACCCTCTGCGTACTTTGGCCGAACCGCGGTTGTGCTGGCGTTGACTGCCGACGACGCCGCGCCTGTCTTCTTCGCATTGAAGGCGCTCAAGATTGCAAAGATATACACTGTCGGCTTCAGGACACCGTCTGGGCTGGCCCGCAACGCGCCGCCCATTGAGCAGTTTATCAGCATGGAGAGTCTTCAGCGCGCGCGATCCGTGGCGGACAACCGCGCGCCTTTTGTGATTATCTCAGCCCTCGGCCGGGGCAAGAGCAACATTGTCGGCATGCTGCTGCGAGTCTTTGGAGAGGCCGGCCCGCCGGGGTCGTCAAACTCGAGGAAGGTCTTTTTGAACCTGGCCGAGGCGGCCTCGCAGCAAAAGAACGACCCAGTCGCGGTGGCCGAGCAGAGCGGGTTCACCGCATACGACGCTGCGGACGTGGCGGCTTTTACGACGGTCGAGAGCCTACGGTTGCTGGTCGGCCAAAACGTGCCGTACAGCTTCGTGCGGCTGGCCAGCGGCAATTTATTCTGAGCACATCTCTAGTCTATTTTTGTTTCGAAAGGATTCGGCTGATATAATAATACCCACTGCGAGCTGCTGGCCCGGACTCTTTGTTTTGTCGCTCGATTGAGGATGGCGAGAGAGGGGGAGGAATCCTTTGCTTCTTCTCCTTCTACTTCTTGCGGGCTATCGAGCTGCCCTTTTCGACCTGTTTGGAGAACCCGACTATGGATACGCTTCGGTTCTTGTCTGGTGAATCCGCATCTGTGGCGTTGCAAGCGAGGGCAACACAGAAGGCATGCTATTTCTTTTCTTCATTGTTCTATGCATCTGGCGCAATTTTCGTGGGGTTGTTTGGATTTGCTGTACGGTATTCCGAGGAGTGACATGTGGAATATACGATGTATATAGGTAGGTAGGCATTTTGCATGGGGGATGGAGGAGACAATCGAGTGCTAGGCTGCGACTTTTTGCTTAGAAAATGTCATTTTCCACCTACATACGGACGGAGCATGGAGAGGATTTGAGGGGGGGAAAGAGGGAGCCCTGGAGACTTGGGTCCGGATCGAAAATACTACCTTACACAACTGCATACTGCATACTACTACATACAATGAGCCATCATGGCCGTGAGCCGTTCGACGTGAGGCGACGCAAAGCAGCGGTACCATGTACGGGAGGATTGCTTGTATTGGACTCGCTGGTCTCGTATTCTACGGAGCCTAGAGGCACGGATTTCTGTACCAGCACTCGTCCGGATAGACGTCCGTACGGTGAACAGATCCTATGGGTACTTTGCAAGGCAGGGCCATGCTTTCCCTCGGCCTGGACTATCGGCACATGGACTTGTTTTCTCTTTTCTCCGACAGTAGGTAGGTACTCAGAAGCGTATTACGGACCCTTTTCGGTGGTGGTGCGCGATTCCGTCCCCTCCCCTCCCCTACCTACTTACTTACACTGCATACCATACCTTACACACCCTTGTTCCTGTCGTTTGCGCACCAGGAAAATGATAGGCCGAACGGGGTTTTCGGGTCAGCTTACCTTGCCCCCCCCCCCCCCCAAGCCGGGTTTTGCATTGCAGTCGGGCGGCAAGATTACATTGCTATTGGGGACGAGTTAGAAGGAAAGGAATGGAAGGGGAGGGAACGGATTTGATAGGTAGGACGATGGGGAGGTAGGTGAGGCATGAGAGGGTTGTGAGGGGGCGTTTGCTTGTTGTTGTAGGTATGTATGTATGTATGTCTGTATGTATGTATGTATGTATGTATGTATGTATGTATGTATGTATGGTATGACGGACTCTATAGAGGAGCTGTATGGAAGCGTTGTATGAAATACTGCTGGGTTATTTTCTGTGCGTGTACGAATAGTACCTAGCAATTCAATGTATAAGAAGGCATTCTATATGTGAGTTTGGGAGTGTAGAGCAGGACATCTATGGCTAATGGGAGCAATTTCTGATGACGGATGGGTAGGTACATAGGGTAGGGATTTTGGAATCACTCTTGGTCCCGATTGTCCGTGTACATACGAGTACTATTTCTATAGCCTGGTCCGAAAATTCATAGGGCTGTGGACGGAGACTTATAGGACTTTTGTCGATCCAACGCCGTTTATAGGGCGTCTTTTTCGCCGATGCGGGCCATGAACCGCGATGTTTTCTTCTTCTTCTTCTGTTTCTTCATTCTCCCTTTCTTTCTTTCTAATGGTAAGTGGGCGGAAGAAAGGGGCTTGTATCAAGGGGAGAGATTTCATGCGGGTTTTAATCACTGCGATGGGTTACACTACCGAAGTACGACCTCCATTCCCCTTCCAAGTTTCTATATGCGCGTCCGTCATAAAAGAACTGCAACCAAATATCGACTCAACATAGGTACACCTCATGCAAAAGATGAGGAGGAATAACTATGGTAGGTGCATCCGCATCTGTCCGTCATTGACGTTGTAAATGGAAAAGCACGAGATAATGTGAGAAAAAGGAGAAAGGCATGAAGAAAAAAATAGAGAAAGAAAGTGCCGATGACCTGCTATTTAGTGGTGGGATGTTCGGATCTGCCTTGTAGTAGGTATGAAGGATACCTTAGGACTACCTAGTACTAAGTACGCATGTGAATGTGCCGGCCGATTAACCTTTTACGCTGTCCCCGGAATTTTTAACAAGATTTGTTTTGTTGTTGGCGGGAGGGAAGGGCTTGGGCTGACAGGGGGAGGAGGAGGGGGGAATGCCTTGCTGTATTCGCATGTACAGTAGGCGGCGATTCAGGGGTCCTGGTGTTCTTTGTCTTTCACGTTGTCTGCGCTGGACAGGCAAGACGGGTTGTCGCCTGGAGAGAAGACAACAACAAGGGCCATTAGGTAGATGCTGGACTTGACTTTTGTCTCTTACATGCCTACCGCTCGGCGGGCTAAATACCTACTTCACAGTATGTTCCTTGCCTACTAGGTATGTACAGTACCTACATGTAGGTAGTATGGGCTTCAGCTCTTTCGAAGGATCCTCAACCATGGCACAACCTTAAAGAGATCAGCATCTTGGTAAGGCACATGTACGAGTATTAGATAGCCCTGGTTGCCAACTAAGGAGCGAAACGTGCAATCGACCCAATCAGTACATGTGCTTCCAAAAATACCCATGTATGACAAAGCTCAGGGGCACTTACACCTAAGGCTTGGAAAGAGAGAAGAGAGCGCCTAAGCGATCATCTGGAAGATCTCGCTTGCGCGACATCGTGGCATGATGTGAAAGAGCGCAAAGGGCGGTCCGAGGATGCGATGACGAGTAAGTCTGCATGCCAATGCATCATGGCCCAATCCCGGGCTCTTCAGCTCAGGGCTGGGGGGTCCCTTATGCCTCGCTTCGCATGATAATGGGACTTGTCCTGTATGTATGTTGATGGAGTTGAGTCGCGTTTGCAAATCCCTTGTGAGAAAGAAGCACAGAGAACAATGGATGGAAGAAATGGAACAGGAGGGGGTGTTTGAGCTGTTGCTTCGTATCGCCGAGAAATGGACTGCAGGTGCAGGGCGAGCGGGTGTCGCTCATTTTAGGGCTGGCGTATGTTTTCCCGTCTTGATTCTGTTTTATCGTACTGAGGTGGTTTGTTGAGTCAAATTGCCTGTTGTGAGTTGTGAGACAAGCGAGGCTGCGCGATCGATGTGCAATTCGTCCATCGTGTGCGTGCTTGGTTGGAGTGTGCACCGTCTGACCTCGTCAGAGCGTGGGGGTGAAACGGAGTATCAGCTCAGGCTTGCGGTTGTCTCGTCTATTTCTGTCCGACTCTTGTGCCGACGCAATAGTACTATATTCGCAAGCTGTGATAGTACTAGTATAATAAAACTTGCAACTTGTGAGGCGCGGTGGCTAGTCATGGCAGTCGGCCGCGCTGGCGTTCAGACTGCGGAACAGGCGACCCCTGAAGAGATATTGAACCAGGCAAGCGACACTCGCGAGGAGCCCTTTTTTGCCGGGACTCTCGTGGGCTAATGGTACATACATGGCGGTTGAGCCCGGGTTTAGAGACTACTAGTACTATGCTCAACGGGGCATCGAGGCGTTGCAGAAGATTGCTGTGCCGGGTTCAAGTGCTGTTCGCCGCGGCACGAACCCCGGCGACTCCCCACAAGGCGGCCATCGTGCGGGAAGGGTGGCATTTGGCTTCCCCTATGACTGGTACTGACATGTGTCTGTCAACCGTGGTTCTACTAACTAGGTAGTATGGCAGCCCGTGTCGGCAGAGAGAAGCGGGAAAGGCGTTGAGCAAGCAAGAGACAACTGACAACTCCTCCATCCGTTAGCGGGTTGACAACTCGTAGCATTCAATGGATGTAATGTACAGATTGCTCCCACTGACACACGCACATCCACACATGCACATTGACCACGGCGTCGGCTCTATGGCGGCACATCACCGCCACCGTGAGCTCGGCAGTTGGGGGCCAGTCATCTCAAAACGGCGCAGGACAGCATGGCAAGACGATTCCCTCGGCTTCAGTGCGGTTTCGCTGCTCGTCCGCCGGCTGCGCCCTGCAGCAACACGACCAACACCCCGATGTGGTTCGTCGCTTGCCTTGCGCGGTTGCGACTCTGGATTGGAGGGTCGCAGCAGCAGCACTTGACGGGCAACGAGCGGGAAGACGTGGAGAGAGAGAACGAGCCAACATGACACCCCCCCCCTGACCTGCAGCCCTCCCTCCCGCTTCTGGCTCTGGCCTCCCCTGACACGGCGATGCGGGATGGACGTGGTAAGCAAGCCACTGATTTGCGCCCAGCGAACCATTCAGGTTGCTTGTCTTTTTGGTCTCTTCTACTACTGCCGATTCGATGCGTGCGGTCCGATGTCGAGGGTGAGATGACGGCCATGGCGAGGGCGAGGATGATGATGCCTGTATACTTCCGCCCTATGCAGTCGGCATGTGCGGCTGTTTTGGGGCTGTTGAACCGCATCATCGTCCGTTGATGCCAAACTTGGAGCAGATACTGACAGATCCTGGACGGACATGGCATCGCGAACCGGCAAGAGTCGCCGGGCTGGTTTGAGCCCTGCGGCATGTGCATCGCGGGACGAGCACCCGAACGGATGCCTCTGTGCTGGGAGGCCGTTGGTTGGCTCTCGGTGTGTGATGCAGCGAGTCGTCTGGCTGTGACTGGCTAGTTGGGGGATGGGGGGCTTCTCACTGCATAAAGGGTGAGAGTATGTATGCTGAAAGGGCCGGGTGAGATGGATGCTGTGCATGATTTGACGCCCTCTATGTATGTTGTAGACCAGCCCGGACTCGGATTCGATGTGATGCTCTCAAAAGTACTTGTACCTGGTGATGCTGCTCCAAGTCTTGGTGTCTGTGATTGGACTGCGTGTGTCTGATGGCACCTGGATAGTCTGATGCCCTTCCGTGCAAAATGCTCCGAAGCGATTCTTCTCCATAGGTACTTGTCACGGTGATTAGATGGGAACATGAAGCGAAGCATGCAAAGAAACTGACAGGGATGCTCGAGTGGGGAGAAGCCGTGATCAGTGATGGATTTGATA